GACAGAGCCAGCTCAGGTATTGTGGAAGAAAGTCATGCTTTGCAAACCTAGTGGAGTTCCTTGAAGTAATTGCTGACTATGAGGATAACAAATGCTTTTGATGAGGCTCTTCATTTAAGCTTTTTGTCAGATAGATGAATGAATGGAAGGCTGGTGATCAGTGTATAAAAAACAGATCAGTAATGGAGTCTAACAGGCGTGTGGTATTTCACAGTCATAAGGGATCTAAAATGGTGAATAATGATTAATTAATGATGATAGAGTAGTAAAAGTTAAAGATCTAGCAAACCAAAAAAGAAATTAATACTTGGTGCCTGGGTGGTTAAAAGTGATAGGTAAAATTCAGCCTTGATGAATGTTGAGTGAGTGCATGAGAGGAAAACCTCTCATCTTCTTGTACTTGTGTTACTGAATGTTGAACTAGCTTTGATTTATAATGCCTAGTTTTGTGAAAGAACCCATTTAGTGTACAGGGACTATAAAAATTAAGCAGATATTTCAGTTAATAACAAAACACCAGAGCAGTACTACTATATGCTGGACTTGCTCGTAATCCTCCTTCTGAGACACCTTTATTGTCATTTCCAGGGGCAGTATATGAGTCCAGACTGACCTTTGATTTTACTCCATGTATCTAATTCTTTTTAAACTTGTAAGTGTGGTGTAGTAGTGAATGAAATGAAGCCAACAGTGTATGTGGGAATGTTTGGTTTGTATGGGAGAACCCTCTGCATATTGTAATGGCTCCCTAGTATGCCTCTTTTTAATTTCATAATAAAATGGGTTTCATAGAATCATAGAATAGGTTGGGTTGGAAAAGACCTCCAAGATCATCAAGTCCAACCCCTGATCCAACTCCAATTACTATATCATGGCACTAAGGGCCACGTCCAATCTCTTTTTAAAAACCTCCAGGGATGGTGAATCCACCACCTCTCTGGGTAGGCCGTTCCAATGCCTGATAACCCTCTCTGTAAAGAATTTTAAATAGATTATGAAACTACTGATGATTTCATTGAACAAGTGTGATATAGAAAAGACTGTATCAGACCATGAAATTATTTGAGTGAAGGACACTATAAGGGAAGTTTTTTCTCTGTTCCTTTTCAGTCACCTCTGAAATACTGTTGCCATGTAAATGGAAGTCATATGTTTGCTTTTATAAACCAATTTATTTTAGTAATCTAATTTAACTGTTAAAAGGAAAGTGTCTGCGTAGACCTCAAAGCTAAACGGGAAAATTGCTCTGTAGTGACAGAATAAGGTAGAACTTAGCATTAGCTGAAAATACGTCTAAGCCACAGTATGTGTTTCTAAGAAGTACGAAATGTGCTGTATATAAAGAAGATACATACTAGAAATACATGGAAACCATCCAAGTGGGGAAAAAGTCCATCATAAAAATGAGGCTTTCTTATATTAATAAAGCACGTGAAACTGGTTGATGTATGGTTGCCTATTATAGTGATGTTTTAGTATCCTTTTTCTTTAAGAGGAGGAGGGTGTGGCTTTTAGAGGTCTTGAAGAAAAGATCTTCCTTCCTTTCTGTATTAGGAAAATAGTCAGGTGACATTGAAAGATCGAGCAAGATGAAATCAAGAAAGCTGAGAGATGAGTTGTCTCTGCAGCCATTGACAATAATGATCATGTCTCTTTTCATTTGATCTTTGCCCTTTTTCTCCTAGCCATTATAGCTACAACTCCATAGTGTATTCCTGGGTCTCTGACTTGCACCACTTTCAACCAGCACTGCCTTCTCACTGTTGAGCTTCTGTACTCCTCCCTGTTTGTTCACCAGTGATACCACTTAAAATAGCCATGCTTCTCTATTTCCCTTTGCACTGGGACAGCTTGTAGCGTACACAAGTTCTGCTTTAGCTAATGGAAGTGGTTCATGTTAAACACTAGGTATCCCAAATATTTTACTTCCATTATTCACAATTCTATAAAATTACCTTAAGCTTAGTCTTGTATTTGCAGTCCACCTCTAAAATAATACTGTGCTATTTTTTCTTCAGAAACATACTTCAGCTGATGAAATTAATTATTTTGAGAGTTGAGGATTTACAGGTCTCTTAATTATTATGGGGACACCACCCACCCTTACTGTTTTTAATGAAGGTTTTGAGCCGGGGTAGTTTATTCTCCGGAAACTCTAGAGAAGGGGAGCCGATTATTGAAGAACCTTTAAAATAAGCAACTCTTGGCATGTAGCTTCCTTAGATGTTGTTAGCATGATCTTGAAATGTGATTTGAAATGAATGTGAGATCAGTAGCTTAAATCTGTATTTCAGAGGTTTTTGGTTAAGTGTTTTACTTGCTAGAGTTCATACCTAAGGTCTGAAAGGTGAAGAACAGAACAGGAAACATTGTATATGGTGAATTCTGAATTAAACAGTATTGAAGTTTCCTTTTGTCTGTTAAAAGTGAATTTGTATACTGCTTTCCATCTTTATTTTAGAACTTTTAAAAAGTAACACAACAAAATACCTAGCATGCCTGAGAGACCAAGGAAACCATGACACTTTCTGTACTTCATGCTTCTTTTGGCATGGGCTTATATTTTAGCATTTCGAAAGAAAAAGTATGATACAAATGAAAGATTGATGTTAAAAATTTGTATGTATTCCTGTTTTTCCTATATTTTTGTATTCGGTGTTTAAAACATTCCCTCCTATAAAGAAAAAGACAGAATTTGGGCTTTTGAAGCAAGCCCTGAATTGAAGCAGGTAATTGCCCGGCTCCAGAGCAAACCCGGATTTTGAGAATTTAGTGCTTCTGCTTGACGTGCGTGTTTTCTGTGTTAGCCATGTCCATGGACAAATTGATTGACTCTACAGATTTGAAGGCTTCAGGGCAGATGGGACCCCAGATTTTGACAGTTCATCACCATCACTAATCTACTTTTAAAAATCCCTGGATGTGACCCAGCACTCTTGTGGATGTTCTTTGCCTGCTGTTTCTCACAGCATGGAGATCAATGCACAGAAGCTACCGGTGTACTTTGTACTGCTGTGCAAGCGGTTATGGTCCTCTACTGAATTTACCAAAGAATTGAAATTCTTTCCTGGATTTCCGGGATATTTACTGTGTATCTTTGCAAAAGGTGTTTGAGTAGTTTACAAAGTATTTCTTGCTAAGTTACACTTACCCTTCATAGCTTTACTTCTACATCTGTCTTGAGCTGTTCTTGGCTTCTTACTCTTTTATTACTGACCCGTTAAATGTTGTTTCATTGCCATTTGCTTTCATTTTTCATCATCAGTTTCAGTCCAAAAAGACAATCCTTGAACACGCTCAAGATGCAAAACTGTATTTTAGAGCAGTGAAAATACTGTGATACTTTTCTTGAGTTGTATAATTTTCATCATAGGTCAAAATGAGCCACTGTATGGAGAGGTAACTTAAAACAGGAATATTTTTATGAAGTTGACAAATTTAATAATATCCAGCCTTTAAAGTAATTATGATTATCCTTGTATTTACCTGTTTCCAAATTCTAGCATGATTTTACTGCTCATTCTCATTATATCTGAAGTAAATAATTTCTATCTTGCACACTTTAAAAGAGAGGACTGCAAGCCTATAAATAATTTTGATTTTGCTAGCATTTGATTTTTTTTAATAGTCAAAAGTCTCCTGAAAAGTGAGGGGGAACAACAGGTTTGAATTTGAGGTGAGGGATCAAAGACTATTATTTCAATCTGGATCAAATGTGTTCTCAATTATATATTCATGGAAAATAAGCTTTCAAAAAACTTATGCTCTAGCTTTTCTTTAGGCATAGTTACTTGATATATGTAACTGTCAAAGACTGATGGATCAGGTTTCAATCCTGAAAAAAAGGATTGAAAAATCCTTTAAAAGCTGAAAACAGTCAAATAAGGTCCAATCAGATCTGAACTGATCAGATGAAAGATATTTCTGGTCTAATAGCTCGCTGCCAACAAGTTAATGATAGATAGCATAGACACATAGTTATGAATTGGACAAGTAAATAGCAGTACTTCTCTGGCATGCCTTGTTAACATCCATCAGTTTGTATTTTATGACCTTCTTTATTTTTGCAGTTGTCACTTAAACAGTACCTAGCTGGGAGAGAAGATTCCCTAATACTCTTTAATTCTTTGTTTTGTAATTCCCTAGAATACTTGATCATTTTTCATTAGACACCAAATTAGTTGTTTTTAGCTAAATGACCAGGTTTAGTTTTTCTCCAAGAAGATGCTGTCCACTGAAGAATCATGTATACCTGTTGACAAATTTAGACTTAGCCTTTAAGTTGGGAAGTGTTTGGCACTTAGCAAGACCTTAAAACCGTCTTCTTCTTTGTTGTATTTTTCTGAGGTTTTTTTCAGTGGCATTTGTTTTTTTCATAGGGTTATGTTCCGTGGTAGCAAAGCCAGATGGGCTTGTGGCTGTTCGTTCCTAGATTTAAGTTGGGAGGTATAAAGCCAATATCTTGTTCATAAAAATTACCACTGATTTCAGTGAATAAAATGTGGGAGGTTGACTCTCCAAAATAAATTACTGTCATTGTCCTATTTACCAGTTGCCATTTCACGTTCAAGTCCCTACTGTGTGATACTTCGTGACTTTTTAATATTGGTGAACTGTTTAATATTACTGAACTTTTTAATATTGCTGAATGCAGTTTAATAGCATTAAAACTGCTATTTGTTCTTTTTGTATTTGGAAAAAATAATTTTTTTTCATGTAGGTGTGGAGCTAATTAAGGTAATTAATAATTCATAGAACTATGTTTGTTTTGGTATGGGAGGGAATTAAGCTTTGAAGAGTCCAATGGAAATGAAGGAGGAACAGCTGTTTCATATAACTGCTAACTGAATCATTAAATAAATGTGAATGATTTGTATGGAAAATTACCAGGGAAAACTGTTTCTTTATCTTGGCTCTTCAATTAGCAGCATGTGTAATTATTTTTCCAAATTCTTAATTTTGCTTGTTTTTTTGTTTTTGTTTTGTTTTGTTTTTTTCAGGATGGATTAGATGCTTTGGTATATGACTTGGATTTTCCTGCCTTAAGAAAAAACAAAAACATTGATAACTTCTTAAACAGGTGTAAGTATTTAATGTCTATAAGTATCAAAAAGAAAAAAGCTGTTCTAGCTTATTGGAAGGCAGCTGGGGATTTGGGGTGAATTAAGTTTTGGGCTGCAAGTTGTTTTAAGAGTCTGATTATTTATTTATTTCCCAGTGAGAACTGACAGCTACCTGTGCAAATCTTATCCCCTGCATTGATTCACTGGGCATTGAATGATTGAATGTCCAATCTGTTGCCCCTGTAAATGGCATTGTCTGCAGTGGCACAAAGCCTTTTAAGAGAAAGGCCTGTTGTTTTTGTTAGGGCAACTCTCTGGGTTCCCATAACTTGCTTTCTAATTTCATGTACTAGTATATGATAAGCAATTACCAGTAAAATATCATAATGATGCAGAGTGTCAAGAAATTGTGTTAAAAATTTGTTCACAGACTAGAGCATGTCTTTTGTAAACTTTTTTTTTAAGTATAAAAGGTCTCTTTACACGAATATCTTATACTGCATAGCTGCTGTATTTACTTGTATATTCAGCTGATGTGTCTGCAGAATTCTCTGTATTTACTCTGTATTTGTCCACTACCAGATTTCCTGCACATTTTACTCTAGAATAGCATTTTAAACTAACAAAGTTGATGTTTTTAATAGCAGTCATAGTTCCATATTTTTTGTAATTAAAACAAGCAAACAAACCACAAACAAACAAAACCCCCAAAAGGCAGTTAAAAATTAAGTCATTTCTAAAGGCTGCCAAACTGACAAATTCTGGAAATCATGGCAGAGATGTTAGCTGATTCAAGACTTGCTCCTGCCTATGGACTGAATGGGCAAACCTTGAAATTAAGCTAATATTATTAGATTTTTATATTTTTGTGGCAAATATAAAGTAATTTGACTAAAATAATTTTTGTCTTTGCTTTACTGTAATTTATGTCGGTGTTTTTTCTGTTTCCAAGGTTTTTTCAAATAGTTTATTTTGTGAAACTGAAAGCTATGATAGTGAATTTGTGGGGTTTATTTTATATTGTTCTCCATTTGTGGGAATTTATGAGTCCACTAAATCCAGTTGATGGCTCAGTTGCACGTAAGCTGGTTGTTGAAAAGCCTAAGCTCAAATGTTCTGTTTAACTTTTCACAGTTCAAATTGTATTTGATACCATACACTGAGTTACATGCACATTTGTATACTCAGTTATTTACTGAGAAGGTGTGGTGAAACTCTTGGAGAAAAGAGAAGTTGTATTAGGCAAGGAAATACTCATTGCATCAGATAATTTGAATGTAATTTTTATGAATAGTGAAATTATTAGTGAGTCTCAGAAAGCTTCACTTTTGCAATTGGGGCTGAGTGAAAGAAAACTTACATTTACAGTCTGATGATGAATATCTGTAGGCATAATTTATATACTGTGTTGTAAGATGTGACCTGAAGTAATATGAAGGTGGAGAACAGAACATCCTATTTCACTTAAAACCGCCTTTAGAACATTAATCTTGCACTATTTGCTGAAATATGAAAGTGAGCTGTGGATGTGCAAGTAGTTTTCTTACAGAGAACTGTCAAGTCTAATTTGCCTTGAACTTCTGTTAAAAAATAGACATTTTCATGTTTATTTTAGTTCTAATGGAAGACTGTTTAAAATGTCTTTTTGCAGTACTAGCGGTCCAGTTTGCACCATTATTGTAGAAGTTTAAAATAAGTTTCTAGTTGGCAAATAAAATGGGAGTTTGCTTCCTTTATGTTATAGACTGATTGACTTTATCCTCTCTTACTTGTCTCTAAGTTACATTGTATATTTGTGGAACCTCCAAAATCTGCTTCTACTGGTAGAGGTTTTGAGGATGATTTTTTTAAAGGTAGAACCTTATTAATTTTCTACCATATAGAATTAAAAGAATAAGGAACTTAGTATTAAAGATAGCTGAGAGCCCTACTTTCCAGTGGAGACTCAGTTCATTTCTACACAGAATCCAAGCTTATAACCAAACTTTAGAGCACGTTGGAGAAAGTGATTTTTTGCCAAGGGAGCCATCCGGCCTCTTTGTACAGCATGAGCTGTCCGGGCCCTCCACTGTTTCTGGGAAATAAGGAACTGCCTATTTGAATGTATTGCAGCCTGATAAACCTTGTTTAACAGACTTAGAATGTGGAGGTCAAATTTCCAACACTGTTATTACTAATGCATATTGTCTGAGGATAGTTGACTATTAGTCTGGAGATATATATATATATATACCAAACAATAAATTTCAATTTGCAACTGCTCACAAGCCTGGTTTACATTATTTAAAAATCCTTAGCTTAGATTGCCCTTCAGATGTATTTTCCTCGGTTCTGTTTTGTCCGCAGGTGAGGCTTGTGATTAAATACCATTTAAAGGATTCATATTGTGCTTAGATTTCTTTTGCACCAATGTCAAGCTGTTCATTCAGAAGTGGTGAACCTGAACCTCCTGTTGTGAGATTACTAGGCAGTAAGTTAACAATAGCTAGAAAATTGCTGTCATGGGAGTTGCTGCATTTTGGTTTTGTGCAGTCTTGCTCCTCCTCTACTATAGGTCAGTTTTCACCAGGGCAAATAAGGCAATGCATTATTTGTTTGAATTACTGAATATTTTGATCCTTGTGTGAAAGAATTTGTCAGAATTTGCAATTTTACTGTAATTTATTGAAGTCAGCTAGTGATATGCTGCATTGTAAAGGGTTGGCTTTACATTAGACAGTAATGCCACAGTGTATTTAGTCAAACAAAACTATGTTTGTTCCTGTTGCGGTAATAAAATCTTACTGAATTTTTATTGTACATGTGCTGCTTTTGTTTTAAATTGTGGCCTGTGTAGGTAGAAATCTAATGGCAATTTTCTGTCGTCTGCCTCATCATTTTTTAATAATTTTAAAAAATTAGATTTTTCCTCCTTTCTCTTCCCCTGTCCTTATTTCTTTCTAAACTTTACTTTTAGGCCTAGAATATTATTTTTGAAAATAAAATATCATTGCATAATTTATTAGAAGCATATCTGTTTTAGTAGAACTTCCTTGCTTTTAGAAATACTGAAGCATGAAGCTTTTCTACGTAATCTCATGCCAGTGTTGACCCACATGGATTAAAATAGACTGTTTTAATCTTTGACCAAATTTGGAATTAGAATATCTACCCACTGGGAGTTTGTAAATTATTGTAGTTTATAGAATGACAGGTTTATATAAATAATTGCAATGATTCCCACTGCATGTTTTAAATTAAAATCTACTTTTTTTTAGTATTAGGAATCATACAAGTGCAGAAAAGTGAAAGTTTTTTTTTTAAAAATATTTTTCAAGTTTCTCATAGTGTATTTTCTGATACTTTCCCAAATGTGTTGTATATTTATTCAGAAATAATCTTTTTATGCCGATTAGCTTACAGCAAGATCATGCTGGATATGAAATTTTTGTATAGCTTTTTTTTTTTTGCAGGTAGTTATTTTTAAATAAATTCCTAAATTAAGATCTGCAATGTGATTGTGCAGTAGAGTCCTTGCATTATGTTTATGTCAGGTTTTGGTTACTGTGGTAATGAGAATGAGGTCATGTATTCTGCAGAGAACTTTTCAGTAGGAAGGTAGGTTCTTTGAGCAGTACTTCTTAAAAACTATGAAAAAATGAAATTAGATGACTGGGTTTAATTGTTGATTATATAAGAAATGTGAATTTTGTTCTATGTAGATAAAGACACGGTAAATAAAATGAGAGATCTGCGCATGAAAGCTGAGGACTATGAAGTGGTGAAGGTGATCGGTAGAGGGGCATTTGGGGAGGTTCAGTTGGTAAGTTAAGCTTCTATTTGTGCATTTGACTGTATTCTGTAGTATTTGCTCATGCATCTGTTTCTGAGTACAGGGTTCAGAAGATGCAGTCTTAGGATATTAAAGCCTTTAGCTCAGTGAAATTTTATTTCTTAATAACTCATGGAAATGCTTTTGAAAATGTCATTTTTCAGTACTGTCCAAGTGCACAAGTACTTGCTCTGCATTGTAGTCATTCTTCTCTGTTAAAATGAAATGTTTGTTCCTCATAATCAAGAAAATTAGCCTTTACCACTCTTTACATGGACACTTGAAGAAGTCTTAAGGACTAGAAGAGTTTCTACCAGTTCAGGGACTACACCAGGTTTTTGTGGACATAGTTCTCGCACATGAGAGATGTGTGTTGTTTGTGATAATGTTAGCAGCCAGGCTTGTGCATCGTGCTTTATTTAATTGAGAGGTGATGGAAGAAACTGGAAATCTGGCAGGAAGTATGCACATCTACTAACGAACTCTGGAAAATGCTTGTAGTTTTAACTTTGTAGTATTTAACAGGTGCCAATATTTGTCCTTTTAAAGACACGTGCAAATTACATAAGCAACTGTTATGCCTATGGACTTCTATGTTGAATAGTTCCAGCAAGTATTTTAAAAGTAGTTCTTTGTCAGATAATGGAATGTAATTATTTTGTAGGCCTACAGTATATAATCCTTTATAAAAATGTGAAGAGTCTTATAGAACATGTTGAATAGTGAAGCAGGAAAAGTGATGTTTTCAGTGATGTTCTTTATATGTTAATATGGCAAACTAATATGTTCCATATGTCACATTTGTCTTCATAGGTAAGGCATAAATCCTCAAGGAGAGTGTATGCTATGAAGCTTCTGAGCAAATTTGAGATGATAAAAAGGTCAGATTCTGCATTCTTCTGGGAAGAAAGGGATATTATGGCTTTTGCTAATAGTCCCTGGGTTGTTCAGGTATAGTGATATTCTTTTTCAAATATTTTCGTTATAGAATAGTTTGGTTACAACATTGCATAACTTGGAATTGCATGTTATCTTTTTTGCATTTCAAAGTCTCTTGTTTTATTGGTCTGTTAGGGAAATACATTATTGACATTAGGAATGCTGTACAAAACAGTGGATACTACACTTGCTTCAAAACTGTATTTTGTCACAACATTTAAAAGATGTCAAGCTATTCTGTTTATTATTAAAGCTCTTTGCCAGATATATATTGGTGAGTCTGCTCTGTAGTAATTCTTTGAGGCATCCAGCATACCAGAAAGATATGCTTAAGACACAGCTTCCGTATATTCTAATTTCTTCGTGTGTCTTTGACTGCAAATTGTGCCTGCTCTGGTTATTTTTCCCTCATTTCAGTGTTATCACTGACAATTTTTTGGGAAGCAGTGCTGCCTTTGAGGTTCTAAGGAGCGTGGCTGAACCAATCATGCATTGTGTGCACATGTCAACTTGTTAATTTAAACTGTTCTTACCCTTAAGCATATAAATTCTTTTGTTAGGTTGGAATTATACAATCTCATTCAAGATTTATCTAAATCAAATTACTGCATTCCTGTCTGTCTGGGTGTGATTGTTCAGAATAAAACTTCTATGAATTTCATAAAATTTTAAGTTAAGAGACTTAAGTCTGCTCTGTTGAACAGAGCATTGACAAATTTAAGGGAAATATTTTTATTTAATTGTATAAAATTTAGGCTCAATTTCTATACAATAAATATGTCGACAATAGAAAAATAAACATTTAGTGATAATACAAATAGAATCAGGCAGATGTTTGGAACACAGTTTCATGTTTGCATATTTGTCAAGTACCATCCTAGTGAGAAAGAAGCATTTTACCTTCTTATGTAATAAACATTCTTTGAATTGATCTCAAGATTTATTACGTCAAGTTGACTAACCTTAACTTGTAACCAGCACTCGGCTTCTCCCATTGTAATATAAAGGGATGGAAGATCTGTCTGAAATGCACTCTAGAGGTTGATTTATTTTTAGGAGATCTGCAAGATGATGCAAAGTTGATTCAGTAGTTGTAGCAATTCTGTTGCTTTGTAAATCAGTTTGTGCAGAAATGCCTTTGATTTCCGACAAGCAAAACATTAAAGATAACTGGAATATTCAGTGACTTATTTTTTGTTTATTTGCTTTTTACAGTTATTTTATGCATTCCAAGATGACCGTTACCTTTACATGGTGATGGAATACATGCCTGGTGGGGACCTTGTGAATTTAATGAGTAACTACGATGTTCCAGAGAAATGGGCCAGATTTTACACTGCTGAAGTTGTACTTGCATTAGATGCAATTCACTCAATGGGTTTTATACACAGGTGAGAAACTGAAAAGTGTTGTTACATGGTGAGGTTTTATTCCTGGTGCTGCCAGAATGACTTCAGTTTGTTTAGGCAGTTTTAATACTTATGATGTTAGTACTTCATTATTATTTCATAATTATTCCATCTTACAGCTTCAAAAGTTCTTCCCATCAGAAACTTTAAAATCTGAGGAGATGCAGTCAAAGTAAAGGCTTTCAGCAGGCCGGTGTTGGGGAGTAATAAAATTGTTCCACTGTACCAAGAGATACAAGAATAAAAATGGTACAGGCATGTTGGCCCCAAAATAGCTGTTTTCTTTTGATTAGAAAAAGCTGTTTTGGGAATTTGATCACAGTAGTATCCACTGTTAGGAATTATTAATTCTGCTAGGCATTTGAAGCCTCAGTGACCCATGAAACAAGAATCTGTGAACAATGTGAGGAAAATCTCCCAGCCATATGTTTTCTTGTAAGGGGCAAGATGCAAAATTGAGATGCAGAGCAAAGGGACTTAGCTTAGTTTCATCTGCACTTACCCTGAAGTGAAATGCAGTCACTTCTCAGATAGGTAGAGAAGTTTTCTTTTTGATATTTGAAATTGTATCTGTTGTTAGCTTTAAATTGCATTAACTGGGAACAGAAGAGTAATTTTTTCAACAGAAAATACAGGAAGAGCTTGAGTAGTGTATAGTGTACTCTATAGTGTATACATTTTCAATTTGTAATTTGGTCACAAGATCAGTGTAAACATGTAAGCTTTTGCAAAAAAGCAAACACAAAGCAAAACAAACTACTAATCCATTGCTTGAGTAGGATCTAGAGCATCATTAATTATGTAGCTATGCTGCATCTAATGGATAAATTATCTGGCTGAATGAACCATTTGTGCATGTGTATTACAAGCTTTAGAAAGCAGGCATTAGAAGTTGCCTGCAGCACAGCAAGCTTTTTTCGTGAAAATTTGGATTATTTTGAAACCAGCAGAGATTTTTGAATTTCTTTTCCACTGGAGTTAATCTGTTCAACTCTGAGGAATGAAAAGAAACTGATGAAAATGTGGGCCCACTGCTCAAGGGATCAGGGACAGAGTGACAAAGGACATGGAAATTACTTTTCTGCCTTTGCCTCTGCCGTCATTGGTAGGATCTGCCTTCAGGCCTGTCAGGGCCCTGTGCCTAGTGGCAGAGCTTGGGAGAGTGAAGCATTACTCTGGCAGAGGAAGTTCAGTCTGAGTCCCAGTTGTGCAAATTGGACATGCACATGTCCAAGGCAGCAGGTGGGATGTGCCAAAGGTCATGAGGGAGCTGGCCATGAACCTTATGATACTGCTCTCTGTCACCTTTGGAGGGCTGCGGTGATTAAGAGGTTCCTGATGACTGGAAGGAAGCAAATGGCACACCTGTCTTGCCCCAAGAAGGGCCAGGAGCAGAGGGCCAGGGGAGCTGCAGGCTAGTCAGCGTAAGGGCAGTTGGATTAAATTCTCAGGAAACCAGCTAAGCATGTGGATGGGAAGGTTATTGGAAACAGCTATGAATTTATAAGGGTAAAGCATGCTTTACCAATCCAGTCGCCTTCTGTGATGATGGGCTTCACTGATGAGAGGAGAGCAGTGTGTGTTGTTTGTCTTGACTTTAGCAAGGTTGTAGATGTAGCCAGACTAGAAAGGTGCAGTTTGAATAGGTAGAACAAAGGATTGTACTGTCCAGCCAACAGTCAGCTACCAACGATTCCTCAGAAGTTTCATACTAGGGATTAGCACTATGTTTTCATTCACAACATGAGCAGTGTTCAGGCAAGACAGAAAACATCACTCATGAGCTGCCCAGCAGGACTTTTTAGAAAAGGTGGAGCCAGACTGTATTTGCATGCCAAAAAGATGAAAGGCAATGGATGACACAAGTTGCAGCAAGGGAATATCTAGCTATTCACTAGGAATTGTTTTCTCGACTATGAGGGAGGTCAAGCAGTGGAAGAGAGTCCTGAAGACGTTGTGGAATCTCTGTCCTCAGAAAAAAATCAGAACTTGCCTGGATTTTATCCTGAGTAAGCTAATATAACTTCGAAGTTGCATCTAACTTGGTAGCTATACTTTGGTCAGGCAGTTAACTGAGAGTCTTACAAAAATCCCTCACAACCAAAATTATTCTCTGAGTATACTGGTACATTTGCACTACATTTGATTTGACAGTTATGGCCAGAGTTCTTCTTTGAAGTCTTTGAAATATACTTTTTCCTGAAATTCATGTTATGCTGTCTTGATAATTCTGCTTCAGTATATTCAGTAACATCACCATGCTGCACTTTACCAGTTACTTTATGAAAACTTCTGTTCTGTAATGGAAGTACTTTGTGGAAAAGGGTATAAGGCAATACTTAATACTGCTTTTCAGTCACAGGAAAATAGTTGATCACATTAATAGAATTCTGAAAATGACATCTCTTAAGTTATTCCCTTAAAATAGAGGTGGTACAGAGAAGAAGTTATATTTTCAATGTCTGTTTGAGATAGCTCACTCATACTTCAACCAGTGAGTGTTTTTTTAGGAACTTGAGGTTCAAGATTGATGTCTAGATTTATTAAATTTGGAGACTTAAGGCTGTGTTCTCACGTCTGTTATACTTTTTTAAAATGCTGTAGTTCAGCAGTCTGTGTGTTGGACATGATACTTAGAGAAAAGAGAAAAAAAATGGAGGTAGTGGTGGTGCTTTAATGTTGCATCTGAAAGGCAGTTGACTTCTATTGTTTTACTAAGTTCAATTGATTGATTTATTTACTTTTTAAAATACATGTTTTTCTCGTTTCAGAGATGTGAAGCCTGATAATATGCTGCTAGATAAAGCTGGTCATTTAAAATTAGCTGATTTTGGTACTTGTATGAAGATGAACAAGGTAAACATATGTTTGTAATTTCACTTTTCTGTTTGTGAAAGGAAAACATACTTAAAAGTGCAAAGAAAATATGCTGAAAACTTTTCAGCTAGATGAGGAGAGTTGAAAGTTCCACTCTGTTCCCATTACTATTCTTCATGGTCTTAGTGAAAGGTGTCCCTGCCCATGGCAGGGGGTTGGAACTAGATGATCTTTAAAATCCCTTCCAACCCAAACCATTCTGTGATCCTGTGATTCATTGATCTTACTCAACGACAAGTTAAAATGCAGAAATGGTGCTTCGAGTACTGATTTCTAGAGAAAGTTTCTGAAGTCAAGCCTTTGATTGTCTCTAGATCCTCAGGGTTATTTCTTTACGTCTTTGGTTATGAAAAGTTAATGAGAAGAAGTGAGATGATTTTTATGTAGTGTGTCAGTAATGAGAGAATCAAAACTGATGTGCAAGTCGCTGAATACCAGTTGTACTTATTAGCCACATGCTGACATAGCACAAGGAAAAATCTGAAGGAAACAGGTGTCATAGAATTATTTCTTTTTAAAAAATATATCCTGAGGTCATTAAAAAAATATTTTGCAACACTATTTCACATACCACGAAGCACTGTTGTTCCCTACACAAAACTGATTGGTTTGTGTCAGCCTGCACGTATATTTGAGGAAAACAATCTGAAATATGTGGTACTTAGTAGAGTCAGTGTAATATGTACATTGTATTCTCATCATATTCCAGGAGCTTTGAATAAATTACTGTACTTGGCTGCTTTGCTATAAATAAAAGGCCACAGTGAAAACCAAATGCAGGTTACATGTACAAATTCAAGAAGTTTTCTCACTAACAGCCCGCTTCAGTAGAATAGCTGACACAAAATTTGGCTTTATTTTGACTTAATATAGAGTTATTCCTGACTGATTATGTTCTTAACAATGAGGAATTTTGAAATACAGAAAAGCATTATCCTGCTGCTTAAGCTGTATGTGCAAAAAAAAAGAATAGGAAAAATGTTGCAAAACTTTGCTGTACATTAGCATCACTGAAGTAAACTCATGTCAACAACACCTTTGATTTTTTACTGCTCTGAACAAAGCTGGCCTATGAGTCTTGAGCCTAGTCTTGGTTCCTCTAGTGTTTTGAAAGAGAAAGGTTACTCTGTAGAAGAAAAGCTGCTCAGCACAGGAGCTTAATTTAGGTGCATTCTGGATTTGCTGCACATGCAACACTGAATTAATATTTGTTTTATTTACTTAGTTATATATTTTAATGGAAGTTTTTCTACTGATCCATTTCTAGGGATGGCATAGAATTATTTCAGAAGTGCCTTAGTGGCACTTGAAAAGTGTGCGTGGTTGCAGCATTCTGGATGACAGCTCCAGTGTGACTGATCTCAGATCTGCCAGCCCTTTCTCAGGGGCGGGAGGAACGTCAAATGTTCTTCTCACTTGTTACCTGTTTCGAAGCCTATCTACTTAGAGTTTGAAAGCCCTGCCTACATTTAGTCTTCCTGGCATTAAGTATATTGAGTCAGAGGCAAAAAATTTGTACTTCATCTGTTCCTGTCAGCAAAATCCCTGATGTTGACCCATTTATGCTAACAGAGGAACTTTCGCTATTTACAGTACATCCTGTCAGTATATGACACATTTATATTGGCATGAGCAGTGTGTGATGGGCCTAGGTGCAATTCTCACTATTTCTTGGGTACAAACAGAAGTTTTTAAAGTAACTTTCACTGTGTTTGACAGATCTGGTGGTTTGTTCTGGATGTAGCAGTTTAGACTTTAAAAATATTAAAATACCCGTTCAAAAAAGAATGTTTGTTGACAAAAGTTGATGTAGATCTGTTAATGTTGCTTAGGGTGCATAAACTCTTAGAAATTACTTGCAACTTTGGATCTTATATTTGGGCCTGTGTGTTTTCCTGCTCTTTGTAGGAAGGTATGGTACGATGTGATACGGCTGTGGGAACACCAGACTATATCTCTCCTGAAGTACTGAAGTCCCAGGGAGGTGATGGTTACTACGGGCGAGAATGTGACTGGTGGTCAGTTGGAGTCTTCTTGTATGAGATGCTTGTAGGTGAGTAGTAGGAAAATCAGAATTGACTACACTGCTTAACCAGACTTAAAAAATAAAGTTGTTTTCAACTTTATTACTCTTTTGACATAAACTGTGGTTTACTAATCCTGATATTTACAGAATATGTTCTAGAAAAATTCAATCACAGTTCTTAAACATTTGGCCTTGCCTCTCGTTCACTCGGTTGCTTACATTGTTTGATTTGTAGTTCATATATTAAAAATCAAATCTATAATACTTTTGATTTGCTTTTTAACTTTTGTGGTTCTGCTTTTTCAGGGGATACACCTTTTTATGCAGATTCTTTGGTTGGAACGTATAGTAAGATTATGAACCATAAGAACTCCCTTACTTTCCCCGATGACAATGACATTTCTAAAGAGGCAAAAAACCTTATTTGTGCCTTTTTAACTGATAGGTAAGACTTAAATTTTATTCAAAACAAAAGTAAGCCTTCACTAAGACAATTTCTTCTCATGTTGAAAGAAAATACGTATTTGTTTTATGTGGGTTTTTAAACTGCTCAAGAGAAGTGAAATTCTTACTGTCTCAGCATGAATGGAGTGTAACAACTTGGCAGCTGCCTGACCAGTCCATGATGCAGAGCTTCTTATAGACAAGAGTTAAAACCAGACTGTATTCTGAAATGTAGCTGTCGTGCTCATGTAGTTATCTTCTTATAAAAACTTCTGAGTTATGTCTACTTCTTACCATAGTTTGAGGGGTGTTTTATTGTCTTTGTTCTTATATTATGCCTTAAAATGAGTCTTTCCTTCAGAATAATTTACGTAATCTCACATGTTTAACCAAACTGGTCTTTAACAGGGAAGTGAGACTGGGACGAAATGGTGTAGAAGAGATTAAACGGCACCTTTTCTTCAAAAATGATCAATGGGCTTGGGAAACGCTCAGAGACAGTAAGTATAGTGCTCTTCTCAGAGATGGTGATCTGGCTTACTTATGTATCATGTTAGCAAAAGGACTGCTGTATTTTGTTTAAAGGAATTTAAAATTTTATTTACTCTGTACCAAGGAAATAGGTTTCTTAGTCACTTGAGTAATATAATGATTATTATCATACTATTTTGCATTTTTTCTAGCTGTAGCACCAGTTGTGCCTGACTTAAGTAGTGACATTGACACTAGTAATTTTGATGATCTGGAAGAAGACAAAGGAGAGGAAGAAACATTTCCCATACCGAAAGCATTTGTGGGCAACCAGCTTCCTTTCGTAGGATTTACGTATTACAGCAACCGTCGGTACGTATGCAGAAAGCAAGCTCATGGTGTATTCTTTTGTCAGCAGTCTCTCTGACTCTTACCAACCAGTATTTAGATGTAAGTCTATTTGGATTCTTAATAACAATTCAGAATGCTAATAAATTACACTCTTTTGATACTTTGCTAATGACAACCTCTGCTGCTAGGCATCAGTACCTTAAAATATCACACTGTATTTTTGAATGTCCTATTCTGCTTTGAGAAGATTATATAGTAATGCTGCAGAAGCTAAGCAAGAAAAATCCACTAGGCAGAGTTACCTGCAGAGCACTGAATTGTGTATGTAGAGTCATGAATTAGGGGTAGGAATGTCCATTTGTTTTACTGCAAATTACTGTTCCTGAGCTGTAGATGAAGTTTCCATACTTTACATCTGTGTTTTAGCATGTGATAAATTAAACCTCGGCTTACTAGAAATAAAATATTTCCTACTTGCCTGCTTTCTACTTTATAATTTTTTTTTAAGTACCCGTCCACTGCAGAGTGAGATTGTGATACTTTACAGTTTTCACTATTACTTGAAAGACTTGAAAGTTAAAATTGTATTAATTCATGCTTTTGACCATCATTATTATTGTAGGCCCTGTGGTTAGCTATATCTACATTCAAAAATCTCAATAACCTTTTCTTACTTTGAAAGCTGCTTTTAATTGCGGTGAGTGTCAGTCAGGCCTAAAATGGGCTACAACTTCCATTAGACCATGTCAGATAGAGGCTATTAGTTTTAATAGCATTTCTGCATAGGAAAACCTTAAAAGAAATAAATCTGGTTTTCATGCTTGCATAGAAGAGGAAACACTTTTCCAAGCCTGTGGTGAAATTCTTTCCATCTCTGCAAAGACTTGGATTTGTTGTTGCTTTCGGCATAGTGAGACATAGAAGGACTTGCAGGCTTTTCATACAGGTTGTGTGAGTTAGCAGTTCAAGAATTTCACCCACTGCTCTCGTTTTAGTCTGTAATTTTAAAAAGTCTTAATATTTGGCTTGCAGAAAGATTTGGAGATATGTTGTCAAGAAGGTGAAGTAGCATACAGAAGCTTGTTAATAACAGAATTTCTTCTCTCCCCATCTTCACTTTTAGGGGACAGTATCAGGAATTTGGAGAATTAAGTGACTGTGGTTTTGCTGTCATGGAAGAGCTCTGCTGCTAAATACTATCATAACTTTGTAGGCTTACTAGAACTATAATGCTGGCCCTAGAATTGAATTTTGTCCTATGATATTCTGCTGGTGTGATTGTCTTGCAAAGTCTGAAATGATCATCTTCCAAAGTTCATGTGTTGGAGAGTTCTTCTTCACATAATCTAATGCACTTAAGAGATGCTTTACTCTCTCCAGTTTAGTTATCAGGCCAAGAAAATCACATCAGATACCAAAGGAATTTGAATATAGTGATTTGTGTTTATTTACCTGACTTTTCAGAATCATCATGAATTGAACTTTGTAGTAATTTTAGAAAACACGTAAAATAAGAACACTGGCTTCAGGGCAAACTTTTTGTGTGTGGAACTGTTAGTAACTTCGTTGAAAGATACACAAGCTCTGCAGAGTTTGCTTCATTTTTGCTACTTGCTGCGTAAGTGCCTGAGTAAATATTTGTGGGATGGAAGCCAATGAGAGTGTTGTAACCAAGGAAAGCAAAGATTTTTTTTTTAATGATTATTAAAAAAGAAAAGTGGTTATATTAGTATTTGGCACAAATCCTTTTTTCTGCAGACCTTCTACTGCAGCTTTCTACTTTACCTTTTACAATAATTCGAGTTCTTCAGTTAAATGTGCTTAAATGATTATGTTACTATTTGGTTATCCACATTTTGGAGCAATAAATCTGGGGGTTATCTTTTAGGATGATTGTATTATTTTAGGTTTTTTTCATAGTCTTGCCTTTAAACAACTCTTCAAATATAACTTTTAATATGTTTTTGCAGATATTTAGCTGCCTCTGCAGAAAATTCCAATGATAACAGAACAGGCCCCACTGTGGACAAAAGTGTGGTATGTCTCACTGATTTTCAGCTTTGTTTTGTCCTAGTAAAGACTCTATTGCATATATGGACATAAACTGTTTTGAGTTAGAAATGTCATAAATTATTTTAGTGTTTGAAATATGAGAAATCAATGAATACTTTCAAGATGTTTAGTATGGCCTGCCTAATAAAATTATTGGAAAAACAGAATTTTACTTTATATAACAGGTTTTCCTGAATTGGATAAAATAGCTGAAACTGCCTGCTCTTTTTGTGGAAAAGGATTCCACAAAGTTTTTATCTTTAGAAATATCGAAGTGTTTGTGCAGCATATTTAGAGTGTTTTGTCTGTCTCAGATATGTACGCTAGCTTTGTGGCAACCATGGAGTCTGGACATGAGTGAGATGGGAAGCTTGAGCTTTCCAGCAACCCACCAGTTTAACTCCGGAGCTGGGCTTCCTGTGAACCGAAGTGGGAGGTGGCAGATAATGTACCAGGCTTGGGTATTCTCCTCCTTCCCAAGGGTGCCCCACAAGCTACTGGGAGTTGGGGCAATGAGGATCTGCATTTATAGAGCAGTTCACCTTGCAAGAAACATTTAGGAATTCTTTCAGTTAATGCTTCCCAAGCTCCCTGACAAGTCAGGTTTCTAGGAAGGTACACTAACGTGTTTGAAACAAGGCCTCCTTGGATTCTGTGTAAGTTCTGATGTAAATCAAGCTATTCCCTTAGAGTGGTTTGATATTTTAAAAATTCCATTCTTCCCAGAAAAAAATACTTGTCAAAAAATTGATGATTAACTAAAAGAAATCTTAGCTTTGACTATGATTTACTTTGTTAGTATTATGTTCTGCTATGTTTTCTGTTGAGAGTGGAAAAGAAGTAAATATCGATCTATGTTCCCTTTTCTCTTAAACTTGCAATATAAGGGTTTTAATGATATATGGCACTATCCAGAGAACGTTTGAAAGGGCAGGGAAACTGATTGTGTCCTTTATTGAGCAACTATATTAATTAATCATTGTAGTGTCTTGATTCTTTATGTATGTTGATGTGTTCCACACCTTTTTCTTTCCTCATGAGCATTTGACTGTTGATATAGTAAAATTTCAAAATAGAGCCAGACTTTCAAATATTTGAAGATACTTAAAACTGTGTGCTGGCTTTTGGTTGACTTGGAAGAGAATTACTGAATGGACTTCACATGATTAGTGGGATACAGGCAACTGTGTGTAGTTAAAGAACCCTCTGTAGTCCTGCCCATATTGTCAGATATATTTGAATGTCTTGTCATTTCCCAGTTTTGGGAGGTGAAGCTCTGGAAGAATTTGAGGGATATAGAGAGGTTTAAATAAATGTTAAGTTTTTACTGCAAGGTATTTTTACCCCACAGTTCTTTCTCAGCTGTTTTTCTTTCATTACATGCTGCAATGAAAACGGTAATGTTGGCACATGGTTAGCAAATTAATTAGTTCTGGAAATATAACACAAGATGTTACCTGGTCTATCTGATTTTGAAGTACTTGAGTGTCTTCTGGGAGAGACTGAGTGCCACAAATTTCCAGGAAATTCATTGTGTTTTGTGAGTGTGTAAAACTTAACAGAATTAGACCGTGAAGTTAAACAGAAAAGGAATTCAACATCCTTTTGCTGGATTTCAAACCTTTTTGAAGATCTCATTGTTTACTTTGGTTTAGTACTACCATAACCACCTGTCAACAGTTTAGATATTAAGAAAGAGGAGATTAACAGATTCTTTTGCACTGGATCTTAGCTTTTCTTCATTGCTCAGGGTGCAGAACCAGATGCGCTATGCTGTAGTGACTAAGAGAAAAAAAATAAAAAGAAAAAAGTGTGACAGTTTCAAAGGGATTTTTCTTGACTTCTCTGCTGTATACAGGCTTTTCTGTAGTACTTTCCTCCCCTGCTTCCTACTCAAAGTGGAAGCTGAGAACAAACTAAAACTTAAAGGAATGCTTTTATACTGAGTTAATTGTAACTCAGGATATTCTTAAGGTATTATTTAGTCTGTTGATATCAGATTGTACAAAACTAGTCCGGAAGCCTGTTGTCTTGTACTGATATAATTAGACTGCTCAGCAAGCTTAGATAGGCCCCTTGGGGTACAGCCCTCTGTGAGAACATCCAGAGACAGAAAGAAGCAAGAGGATGCAATAGCTGTCCAAATGAGTAGGAGCCAGTACAGAAATGCCTCAGTTGCCAGATGTCTTTTTGAACCTGTTCTTCATCTATCCCATTTAGTTCCTCTCTGCACCCTGTCTGGAAGGGCTATAACATGAATAACCAAGAAATGAAAGAGCAGTTACATGGAAACTTCTTTATCCTCTGTTTTGTCGTTTGACATTTGCTGTGGTCCTTTTTTACTAAAGTGAGAGATGGCCTTTAAGTAGTCTTGCTTCTTGCTTTATTTCTGATTGGTTCATGCTAAGGAGGTAAGTGTGTTGTGTACTGGTCCTCCTTCCTCAAAGTTTAGATTTAGAGGCCATCTCTGTGATTTTTGACTACAACCATTGCCTGATCCATATAGTGTTATGTTCTATGTCACACTAGTAATTCTTTTTTCCAGAGCTGCTCTGTAAGTGCTGAGATGTCTAATTTTTGGAGGTTTTTTTATTTTTTGGAGTTAAACCAGGAAACAAGAAAGTAAAAGATCGGAACCACTTGAATATGTTGCTTTGAAGAGAGTCTAGATTAGGAATATAATTCTTCTTTATGCAGTTCCAAGAGCGTTGAGAGAAACATGGAAGAACTAAATAGGCTGAAATCCTGACAAGATCAGTGGAAAGGTTTATAGTGAATCAACACGATTGACTTAATGAGTTGAAACCAACTTGTTAACTGAGGATTTTGGTGATGTTGGATTGGGATTATTGTGCCCAGAGATTCAGTAGAAGGTAGATATTTTAAGACTACATGAAAAGACTGAATTTTTTAATTTATCCTGCTGGCAAACAGTACACGCTGTACAGTAATGTTCTGTATTAGCAGCTAAAGTTTATTACTATTTTTCAAACCTTAGTACAGTTCTAGCTGTAAAAGTGATCTCTGACTAAACAGATGTTAAGAGCATTTTCTCCCCATTGCTGATAACTGACAGGCCTGGTTCTGCTTCTTGAACTTGTTGGGAGCTTGAAGATGCATTGCAAAATACATGTTCATGCTAGAAGAAGAAATTTTGAGGCTAACTAAAATGCTTTCTTATATCTTTGCAGTAATATCTTTAGTCAGATTCTGAAGATACATAAGCCAAGGAGAATTTGATTTAGCTTAGCCCTGTGAATTTTGATGATACCCTAAAATTTTGTGTGCATGCAAATGACAAAACGGTGTTGTTTCTTGTAATTAAATTTCTTAGCATTTGGGGTGGGGGGCATCACATTTTAATAAGGTAAACAGTTAGTGTTTTGATAGGAGAGAGTAAACTGTGATACAACCTGAGCGGAACTGAATATTCTGAAATGCTTTTTTTAAGTTTTTAAATTTAATGCATGTACTTTCATGTACAAATATGTATTTAAAGCTGGAAAATATGCAGAAGATGATCTATGAGTTGGAAGAACAGCTACATAATGAAATGCAGTTGAAAGATGAAATGGAGCAAAAGTGCAGGTGAGACTTTGAACTTTAATTGTTTACATAATTTAAATACATCTAACACTTCAGTTCTATGTTACTGCTTTAGGGATTACCAGAATAATGCTAAGAATGGTATTGTAGTTCTCCAAGGGAGTTCCAGGCACAGGTTTAAGTAATTCTAAAATTTTCTTGAGTACAGTATGAAGAAAGTGTTTTCTTTTCATTGACACCTGTGTAACACACATTCTTTCTGAACACTTGAGTGTTTGAGTTTATCTGATATTTCTGTATTCAGATGTTTTATTACACTGAGGTAAACACTGATCATGCTGATTTTTTTGAAGATAAGATACTGTATGTATGGCATATATTAGATAATTAAAATTACCTAGCTGGTTTCTAAATACAGGGTACTTGTTAGAAAACCTTTTTTTTCCTGTGACTGACAGATAAGAACAGCTATTTGCTTTCCAAAGTTCTTTCTGCCATGTTGAAAGAAGTAGCTATGTGAGAATTTGCATTTTTCTTGCAGCTACACTTACAAACAAACAGTTGGGATTCTTACTTTCTCATAACCAGGCATTTTTGCTTAGATTCATGCAAACTAAATTCCCCTTCAGTCAGTTCTCTTTTTGAAGTCTTTTCCTGAAGGACTAAATAATGCCAGGAGGCAACATAGGTATAGGATACAGGAAGAATTTAGACTTGTGAATTAGGACCAAAGTGTGTAGCTGTACAAGCTACTCATGTGTAAACTGGTAACCAAAGTGGTCTGGTGGGAATTTAGGCTGTGTGACACTGTTGCTTGCTTCAACACAACCTCACTGTTCACACGTTCTGCTTGCTTTCCACAAGCAGGACATACCTTGCTTGAAGGATATTCAGTAACTGTCTTCCTGCAGTACTACTGAAGTTGTCAGAACACAACAGTGTGTCTTCTGGTATGTCATACCATTCACTGCAGATTTAGTAGATAGGATATATTGCTGTAACTGCTCCTTTTTGTACCTCCCAGGTAGCATTGTCTGGGTCCTTTTTGTTACCTCTTTGAAGAGGGCTAGCTAGCTACAAAAATGCAGTGCGTGTGTCAATGTTACTGCCAGATAACCTCACTCTATAGTCCAGTGTTCTAATACATTGCTTCGAAAGAGGCGCTTTCAAATAATATTATTCAGATATCTTTATCTGTAATAGGGAACTCCTTACTGTTGAATTAATGAACTATTTTAGGTACTTGGAAAGTCACAACAAGAGGAAGTTTTAGCAGTTTACCAGGGTATTCTAATTTTAAGGATAACCTGTTGTGTACATACTCTGTTTTACATTTGCAGATAAAGGAATAAAATGTGGCACCTAAAGTTTTGCATATTTAATCTGCAACAAAGTTGATAAATACTTAATATATTTTACAAATTATTTCCAATGGTTGATTGTCTTCTTCAGTTCTAAATGTTCATTACAAAACAGCATTAGTCAAAATGTAAATGTTCACTTTAGTAACGGTCACAAATTGTTTCACTAGAAAAACTATGTATAATGTATTTTGTTTAATGAGCTTGTTTTATTTTAGATCTTCAAACATAAAACTTGACAAGATAATGAAAGAACTGGATGAAGAGGTAATTTTTTTCCTCACTGAAGCCAACTCAAGTGGGTAGAGAGTGGAGTAAAGGATAGTACTTTCGTGATTCCAAGATATATCTTCTGTGACTAAAAACTGTGACTGAGTTTAAGTTGGGGACCAAACCATCATGTTTCAATATGTTGTTTTTATTTGTACACATATTAAAAGCTTTTGCTTTCTGTAAATCATGCTGATTTATGTTTCCTCTGCTAAATATTTTGCTTAGTCTTACTTATCGCAATTTCTCTGGAGTTTATCAAAGTCAATTACTATAAAAATTAATATACAGATTATTTTCTACTGAGTCCTTATGTTGTCTCTTAATAATAATTTTAATGATTACTTTATATTTAATCATAGTAACAACAATTTTTCTAGTAATTTCATAAATTTGTCATACAGAAGTTAAAAAATACATAGTTTCTGAAAACATTTTCAAGAAAGCCAGAACTCATTCATTGGAAACAATGCATCAGTTTCCTTGATCAATTAGTTGCAGGGATACTTTAGGTTTAGAGTTCATTCCGTAAAATATAAGTAGAAAATACAGTTGCTTCTAATTTTAGGGAAATCAGAGGAAGAACTTGGAAACAACAGTGTCTCAGATTGAGAAGGAAAAGATGGTATTGCAACATAAGATAAATGAGTATCAAAGAAAATTTGAACAAGAGAATGAAAGAAGACGAAATGTGGAAAATGAAGGTATGCCATACTGTCCAAGCATTAACACTGATGAGGTATATGATATGTTTTGAGATATAATATACTACCATGACATCCTAAGTGCTACCCAACTTTAAAGATATCTTTTCAAATAATGAACACAAATTTTGAGTTTATTTTTTGTCTGAACACAATATTTTTGTTCTTATTTTCAAATTCTATTCTCTGCAGTGTGAGAAATGCCAGGAATTTTTTAGAGCATGTTTGTGTAAAAAAACCCCAAGAACTAAACCCTAAGGATGTTTTTTAATCTGCTGTGTTAATGGTGCAATTTCTCTTTAGTGTCCACACTAAAAGATCAGATGGAAGACTTGAAAAAAATCAGCCAGCATTCACAAATTTCAAATGAGAAGATAACACAATTACAAAAACAAGTATGTTGCTTCTGTTCTTTGTATTCATTATTTCTTAGATTTCAGCATTCAAATGTATTGAGCATGCAAATGTAACAAAACTGGTCCCAATAATTTTTATATTTGAGAATCTTGTCTGGTTTATTTTAACAGCTAGAAGAAGCAAATGATTTGCTGAGGACAGAATCTGATACAGCAGCAAGACTGAGGAAGGGTAACACAGAAATGAGCAAGTCATTAAGTCAGTTAGAATCACTGAATAGAGAACTGCAGGAAAGGTGCAGAGTTCTGGAAAGCACAAAACTGCAGGTGGAGAAAGATTATTACCAACTGCAAGCAGCTTTGGAGTCGGAACGAAGGGACAAAAGTCATGGATCTGAAATGATTGGAGAGCTACAGGGTAATTCTTCTGTATTTATACTTTACCAAAAAAGTGGTGATAAGCCTACTTTGTTAAATAAAGGAAGGAAAGCCAACCTGCAAACCAATTCTGACTTAAAAATTTCTGAAGATTGGATCTTATTTCCTGATTATGTCTAAGCAGCTCTTGGGAGGGAGGGAGAGTATCAAAACCAAAGAGTGGCAAACAGTGATTGTGAATCTGGGGCTTCCCTGACTAAAAGTCTGAGTCCAGTGGTACAAAAATATGAACAGCTGATGCAGTGCTAGAGAAGACACACCACTCTATCTTACTGCCTTGTGCAGTTGCCACGTTGATGTATCCTGCGCTTTCTCTTGTTTTGTATGTGGAGAAAGCGATCCTGTTAAATTGCATTGTTTTATTATGATTCTACATTACTTTATAAGCAAGATGAAGGGCATAGTAAGGGATGCAGATGTGGAATCCCTTTTTTCAGGATGCTTGGAACTTCCTACCATTTGTACTGATTCTTCATACCGGAAACTATTCAGATACATTAGTTCATGACTGTGTCTCTGCTAATGGATCGTGTCTCTTAACTTCTTGTTTTAAGCCATCTGTCTGGAGTACTGAGTTTCCACAAGGCACAGTCTTTGGATGAGGACTTTTCCTTTCCATACTAAAAGGGATCTTACAAGACGGAGACTTTTTACCAGGGTCTGTAGTTTCAGGACAAGGGGCAATGGTTTTAAATTGAAAGCAAATAGATATAGGAAGAAACTTTTTACAATAAGGATGGTGAGACCCTGGGACAGGTTGCCCGGAGAAATTGTTGTTGCCCTGTCCCTGGAAGTCTTCCAGGCTGGGTTGGATGGGGCTTTGAGCAATGTGGTCTAGTGAAAGATGATCCTGCATGTGGCAGGGAGTTTGAACTAGATGATCTTCAAAAGTGTCTTCCAACCTGTGTGGAGGTGATGCTACTTAGTGTTTAGTGTAAACTTCTGATGCCGCACAGGGGCTTGCGGTAGATGCTGTGCGGTATGGGGAATAGTTCCTTTAGCTGTGTCAGAGCACTTAAAATCATAGAGTGGTTTCAGCTGGAAAAGACTCTAAGATCATTGAGTCCAACTGTCAACCCAGTGCTGCCAAGTCCACCACTAACCCATGTTCCTAAGTGCCGCATTCACATGGTTTTTGAACACTTCCAGGAATGGTGATTCCACCACTTCCCTGGGCAGCCTGTTCCAATGCCTGACTACCCTTTCTGTGAAGAAATTTTTCCTAATACCCAATCTAAACCTCCCCTGGTGCCATCTTGTAGATGGGTGTCACATTTGCTCACCTCCAGTCAACTGGGACCTCCCCGTGATTTGAGTCACAGTTAGGTAAATACATATTGTGTTAGTACCTGTAGATCCATTTGAGACTAACTTTCTGTGTAATGTGCCTTATCTACGTATTAGCGAAATTAGCGTCGGAAGAGGTGCTTGTTGCATAGCATAGCAGAACTTGGATTAATGGAAGACATTTTGCATATTAGATATGGGAAGTGATGGAAGGCAGGTACCAATTTTTGCATGTGATTGGTTTTTGTGAATTGTTACTGATGGCATGCATAGGCATGGCTAAAAAGGTCAATTTCCTCTACAATCTGCAGCCTTTGCATGGCTGAAAATTTTGAAGCTGTAAATATTTTATGGGCCCAGAAATCAATAAAGGTTGAAAAGCCAATTGATCTAAGTCAAGTAACTAATATTGAGTGGTATTTAATTTCTTGTGGCAGTTCGGATTACAACTTTACAAGAAGAAGTAAAAAACATTAAAAACAATCTCGAAAGAGTGGAAGCGGAAAGAAAACAAGTACAGGATATGCTTAATCATTCAGAAAAGGTATGGTAAAATGGTGTTGAGACTGATGTTCTTTGTCAGCTTTTGACTGTATTTTCACGTAGTATTTATTGAGGTTTCCAATTCATATGTTATTCCTCTAAATTAGCCTTATGTTAAAATTATTAACTAAATAGTGATAATTTACAGTCTCATGTGGATGGTCTCACAAGTCCTCGGGTAGTTCTTACTTGTAGCATTGGGCATAAAAGTATCATTTGTCGTTCACTATCACTGATTCAAAGATCCAGCCCTTCTGCTGCTAGCAAGGAATTTTTTCTGCCTGCCTAACTATTGTTGCAGAGAGTTGCCTGTGAAACTCTATGAACTTTTAAAAAGCTGAAATTTATATTTCTGCTTTTACTGGATTTTAATTTGATTGTAACAGTGCCAGGCCTTTTGATCAACTTTGGAGCTGAAGCGTTTCGATTTTTCTGTCTATCCTTCCTTCTGAATGGTAGCAGCATGTTCCCCTAATGTCTCTGATCCCCTCCATAAGATGGAGAAACAAGTAAAGAAGAGTAAAAGGAAATCCTACACCCTTTCTCCAGACAGACTATGTAGTTAGCTCTGTGTTTTGAAGTCAGGTAAAACCTTACTGTGCTGTGCAGTCTATGCAAATAAACCAGAGAGATGTGACTATCTATGAGGGAAGGGGCAAGCAATTCTAATTTGATGTTACATGAAGCAGCTATTCAAAGGCAAGTCCCTGTCTCTTAGAGCTCATCTCCAGTGCTTGTTTCATGAGTTACTGTTAATGGCCGGCAGTTCTAGCAATGAAATAACAGAATGGCATCCAGGTAACAGTAAATCAGATTCCTGTGTGCACTAGTGTTTTTAGTGCATTAGTTGTGTGTTTCTAATTTAAATGATTCCTGTGTGCACTAGTGTTTTCAGTGCATTAGTTGTATGTTTCTAATTTAAATGACTACTTACTATTCAAACGGAGAAATTTCCATTACAAGTTTGTAGACTACTGAAAAAAGTTAATGAAGTTTTCTCCAGAGCGCTGAGTACAGGTTTTATCCGTTACCATTTTTTATTAAGCATGGAAAATAACATTGATAATTTCTTGATAACAAAAAGTTAACAGTAAAGAAGGGAATAAAGGAAATGTGATTCCCTCAGGTATTATAGAAACCTTACAACTTTTTTTCTTATCCTTAGGAAAAGAATAATTTAGAGATAGATTTGAACTACAAGCTCAAATCATTACAAGACAGATTAGAACAGGAGGTCAATGAGCACAAAGTGACTAAAGCTCGGTTAACTGACAAACATCAGTCAATAGAGGAGGCAAGATCAGTTGCAATGTGTGGTAAGTGTTTCTTGCAAGTCTCAGGTAAATACATATTAAAAGTTATTTTTATTATGACACCTCAAAACACATTGTCTTAAAATGTAGTACTCTTACACAAGTCTTTAATCCCTTGTGTAAAGAAAATGCGTATTGAAATCTTAAAACACAAAAACTACACATTTAAAATTATTTTCTCTGGTATGGTACCTATTCCATAAAAATTGCATCGTTTCTTAATGTTTTGGGTGTCTTACTGCATTTGCAATTCAAAGCCTTCCTTGGCTTCTAAAATTCTATTGATTCTTGAAATTCTGGCTAATGCTAAACAGAATTGAAAGAATGCATTATCAAGACAGATGTCTTAGAGCAATCATTCCTGTGTAACTGCATTAAAAATATCGATGTTAGGCTTGTGTGAAGTGGGAAGTTACTTTTAGAGATACATGTCCATGAATCTTGATCTCTTAGTTAAATATGTCAGGTTTTCTTTGTGAAGCTCATCAGTACCTAAATGTGACTTTTCAGAGAACTAACACGAATGGTAGCATTTCTTTTCTTTTGCTCTACTATCCATTCATGAGAATGAAACTTTGCCTTTACTTCATAATGATTACTTCATGAGTCTGCATTCTTTTATTTATAGTTCAGTTGTCATGATAACATTCCAGTGCTTTGATTGCAGATTGGAATTATATTTCTTTTTTAGTGTCCCTTGTAATAATGCCAGGAACTTTGTACTCAGTAATCAGTCCATCTAATAGCAAAAGAGCTTAAATAGCTGAACAAAAGTGTCTGAAAAATATTAGGATATTTAAGACTGTGTTTACAAAAGCATGTCTGCAGATGCTATGTATTAATTTTTGCTGTATTTCTTTCCTTAATCTTTTTTAGAAATGGAAAAAAAGGTAAAGGAAGAACGGGCAGCAAGAGAAAAGGCAGAAAATCGAATAGTTCAAGCTGAAAAACAGTGTTCCATGTTGGACTTTGATCTGAAACAATCTCAGCAGAAACTGGAACACCTTCTTCAGCAAAAGGAGAGACTGGAAGATGAAGTAAGCAAAATGTTCATCCCTAACAATTTTCTATAAAGATAAGAAAATTAGGGTTGCACTCAGAAATAGAAAAGTAAATTCACTTAAACTGAGCTCCTTGTATAATACACCTCTCAGCAGAATTGAAGATTGTTGTTGACCTAAATAGGGTTAGGTACTTTATACTTGTTTCTTAGCTCTTGCATGCCTTACATATTTGAGCCCTCAATTTAATATAAAGCAATTTTTTGTGTTTTCTCTTTTTTAAAAGAAAAATCTTACTTGTGAATTTGACAGTTACTTGTGAATTGTGTAGTCTGATTGGATGGTTTGCAGATCTGAGTGTATTCTCTAGAGAAGGTTTTGTTCAAGGAATTGCAATTAGAATATTGGGGGTGAAGACGGTGAAGACTAGGTTCTAAGAATAACAGTTTCATTCTTGCATTTTCATGACAGGACACTGGGAATGAAGGTTTTAACACCTTTCTTACAGGTCATAACACCTAACTTACAGGTCATGTAAATTAGTTTTTGTATAGCTGGTAGGCTGCAGTTTTTTTCTAGGGTGAGAAGTTTTTAAGATGTGAAATCCACAGATTGGTTTGCAGGACCTTTCAGCAGATGATTTGGGTTTCTTCCATTGTTGCATTTAAGAAAGATAAAACAAATTTGGGACTTTGAAATAACCTAAGTATGGGAAAGCTTTATCATCATGCAGCGTCGTAACTGTACTTTCTATAAGGGCAGCAGCTTTGTGTAAGATTATTGCACTGAAGTGTTTGGAGATTTAGGAGTATTTTTTTGTACAGTACACTGTAGCATCTAGTCAATGGTGTTTAATATAAAATAATCCAGATATAAAACATGTTCAACCACATGCAGCTGGTTATTTAGCAAGCACTCCTAAATTGGAATATGTCTTATTTAGGTAAAGAATCTGACATTTAAGCTAGAACAGGAGACAAATAAGCGAATAATGGCACAGAATGAATTAAAGGCACAAGCTTTTGAAGCTGATAACTTAAAGAGCTCCGAGAAGCAGCTGAAACAGGAAATCAATACCTTGTTGGAAGCAAAGAGGTTACTGGAATTCGAATCGGCTCAACTTACTAAGTAAGTAAAAATCTGAAGTAAAATGGAAAAAATCGCTTAATTATACATGTACTGTTTTGCCTGTTCCTGTTACTGAATAAAGTTATCTGGTGCAGAGGCATTTTTTCCTAAACTAAAAGAGTATTTTTAGCTGCATGTTGTGATTTCTGTATGTAGCCTTCAGTGTTGGAATAGTTTTGTTATGAGCTATGATGCAGACCAGTTCTTGACTCATCTTTCTATGTCAACACATATACATGCCATATATATATATATGCCACTTTTATTTGAGCGACTGTGATACTACTTACTAAATCATATGGGATTCTTACATTTAGTATGTGGGAGTCAGTAGCTTTTTTCCCCTTTAATTACCTGATTACTTTTCTTAACATTTCTTAAACTGACTGAAGACATTTTTCATTAATTAGGGTTCTATTATATGTTCCTTCAGCTGGCTTAACATTTGTCCATTTGGACAACTTCTCATCTTCTAAATTACATACTGAGATGATCGTCAGTTTAGAATAAGAAATGTAATTAAATCAGAATTTTAGGATACAGCAAACTGTTAGTTTTCGTGAAATAATATGTGTGCAAATGTAAGATTGTCATAGGATGCTGTTCTACTTAGAAATTGTCTTTGTCTTTTGTTAGTAGCTGACTTCTTACATGTTTTCCATTTTTATTTCTTCAAAGGCAGTACAGAGGAAATGAATGTCAAATGCGTGAGCTTCAGGATCAGCTTGAAGCTGAGCAGTATTTTTCGGTAAGATTTGCCAAGAATTGTGTATGCTACATTTTGACATAAAATCATTTAACAGTGCATCGTTAATAGATACTAAAATTTTTTAAACCTAAATAACAGCTTGGCATAAATCAGCAATGCAGAAAATCCTGCTTGAAATACAAACAATGAAAAAATGTTAGAGAATGTTAGATAGTGTATCTAAAACGTTGCTTTGTGCTTGTTTGTCAAAACTTTTATATTACATTGAATTACTCTTATCTGAAGTATTCATCAGAGTAGTTCCTATCTTGAGGTTGGAAAAGAGATACTTTTCTGACATAATGGCAAACTTTACAGAGAGTTCAAAATTTCCATACTTACTGGAAAATAATGCATACTATTGATCTACCTTAAGCATATTTAAGAACCATAGATCCAGTAGCATTCTGCATCTTCTAAAAAGATGCCTTCTCTGCACCTGAATCTCTGCACCTGAAGAGCCTTATTGGGTACTGCAGGTAGCCAAAATGTCTATTTCATAGGTGTAGTTTGATCTGTTTCCTTTCTGTGAAAAGAAACAATAGCATGAGATTCTCTGTAACACCTGAACTTCAGATGCATTTGTGAATATGGACAGTCTCATTTCAGTTTGGGAATTACTTTCAAATTCAGTTCTTCCTTCGAGGGGCAATAAAAATTTATATATTTGCTAAACTGCTTATGATTGTCATTTCATTATGTGTTACAGGGGGTATTTTGTGCATTTTTTCATGACATAAGTAGATCCAGAACATTGTATTTAATTCTCAGTTTTTCCTTTTTTCACTAGCATGTAGTTTAGATGAGACATTCATAATTCAACCTGAATATTCAGCAAAAGTAGTTTACTGTAGAAGACCAAATTTTAACTTTCAGAATTATGAGTGGTGTTAATAACAATACAGTAATTAAGAACAGAAGTCATTCACAGAAGTCATTCACATAAATCAAGCCTCAGTTGAATCACTGCACACGAAGTGTGCACACAAAAAACTTTAAGAGAAAAGATACATGGACACAAAGAGAATACAACAGGTGAAAGCACAGGTCAATAGCAGGCTTATTTGACTAACATTTTGAGACAGTGATGCTACAAGAGCATGCAGTTTTTGTCCTATTGTCTCTCAGAGACTTCCTCTGCTGTGTCCTAGTGCCTTCCTTCACTATTACAAGCATAGTGCAAAGTGTTTGTGCATCTGTGTAGGAAAATAGATTAGATAAATGAAAACTAACCTGGTCACATCAGTTCCCTACCCAAGGGAAACGGGAGAAGCATCTCAGACAGGTAGGAAGGAGGAAATTTCACTAAAGACAATATTGGCATGTGTTGTGGTTTGACAGATTCAAAGTAACTAGTCTGAAAACAAAGGAAATTTTCAGTATGGAATTTGAATAATGATTTCTTTTTTTATGCTTTCTTTTACAGACACTTTACAAAACTCAGGTTAAGGAACTGAAAGAGGAAATTGATGAAAAGAATAAAGAAACGCAAAGAAAAATGCAGGAGTTGCAAAATGAAAAGTATATTTATTGTGTTTCTCAAATACACATAAGTTTTTCTGTGTAGTATCATCTCACTCATGAAAATTTTGATTCAGATTTAAGATGTTTTAATTCCTTCAGGAAAAGACAGGTCTTAAAAGTGTTCCATAACATCTTGTAAGATGGCAAATACATAGGATGTTACCTATGCTGGCTCACAAAGCCAGATATGATTATTCATATTTGCTTTGGACACTGTAGTGTTTGGAAGAAGAAAGATGACTTCTCTGAGAATTCAGTAACATGCAAAAATTTGAAAAAAAAATTACAATTTGTGGTAATCATCTCACTTATGTAACAATTTTTTTTATTTGATTATATTATCCTGATAATCCTGGTATATTCCTATACTCAATAAAATAATTTGAGAAAAGTTAATGAAGAGTCTTTGAATTCAAAATTTAGTATACTAGTACTATAGTCTGAGCTAGCAAATAAGAAAAGTTTTTTAAGCTTGCTTTTCCGATTTCTTAATTTATATGTTTATCCTGAAGGAGACTGTTGCCTTATGCATGAGGTAGTTTCTTTCTTCTAAAGTCTGAGTCTCTTGTTCTACTTGAGCATCAGCATTGCAAAACCAGAATCTGAAGGGCAGAAGTTATGTACAGTGTTCATGGTGCATTTTGGTGGGCTAAAAAAGGAAGAAAGAAAGGATACTGTGCTAATAAATATGATGTAGGAGAAAAATACATCAGTATGCAAAGTTGTTCAAGAGTAGTATCTAACTTAAAAAGAAAAAAAAATAGGGAGGGCAGAAGAGATAGGTAAGACTTCTTTTATTCTTGTTGTTGTTGGGTTTTTTCTTACTTATTTTTATAGACTCTTTACATTCTGTTCCCTCACTGTTCTCTACAATCTTTTGTTCATCATAAACATTTCTCACTTGGATACTACTGTGAGAATTGTGATAATGGCTGAATGTGGGTTAAGTACATTTTGATGGACTACTCTTTACATTTAATTTAATTTTATTTTTGATTCCTCAAAGACATGAGAATTTAGCTTGGTGTTTCATGGATGATTGAAATTTTAATGAAATCATAATAAGTTTGCTGCTGTCACTTGTGTAAACCATCAAAAGACACAAGTGTACAGAGCATGATTTCGTAAGTCTTGCTTTTCCTAAGAAACTAAGATAGTGATAATTAGCTGAGAGGTATAATTTAGGTCTGATAGTCTTCCTGACAGTTTACTATGTTTTGCGTAGGAGAATGAAATCCTGATGTCTTTTTTTACAGAGAAACACTCACTACCCAGCTGGATTTAGCTGAAACCAAAGCTGAGTCAGAACGGTTGGCACGAGCACTCCTTGAAGAACAGTACTTTGAATTGAGTCAGGAAAGCAAAAAAGCAGCATCAAGACACAGGCAAGAATTGACTGATATGGACAGCATCATAAGAAGGGTAAACTAACTGTTATTAATGCCTATATGTATCTCTTTCAGCCGGAAACATAAATTCATGGTTTTAATTTATAAAATGTTATTGTGGTCTTAAGTGATAAGTCAAGTATCTTAAGTTTTGGGCTCACTTGGAACCTCATGTGGACTCCCAAAGGAACATAGACTTGATTAATCTGAGGTGAAGCCAAAAGCAAAATCAAGTGAATGTCTCTAATTCAGTTATTATGCTTTTGTACTTGCTTCCTGTCATTATTTAAATCTTGTAGATTTGTAGAGCAGTGTATTAGAGACTCCTACTGCAAAGTAACTTAGTTTTTAAAATAACCCACTTGAGAGTCTTGAGTAACCCCCAAACTGTAATTTTTGAAGGTATTTTATACCATAACTTTTGAGTGTTAGTGATCGATAAATGTGTTTAACTGAAGAGTCTCAAACAGCAGGCCGTATGTAGCATAGTCATTTTATCATTATTGTTTTTTCCCATTTAACATCAGCTATGCACATTTTCTTAAGAATCCTGGGGGTGTAAAACTCTAGACATAACTAGGCTCAGTTTCTCAAAGCTTTGTCCGCACTGCCATGGGTATTCCATCTCTGTGTAAAGATATTGGAACTAGTGTTTGTTTCATGTGTTTTCTTTTCTAAGCTTGAAATCTCCAGAATGCCACCATTTCTTAAGAAGCATTTAGAAGATTATCTCTGTGGCATCAAAGTAATACCTTCTTGCCAATATGTTTGTTGGTTTCAAATATTCTGATAATTTTTTCAGACAGCTTGATACACAGTCATTTGTATAGGCTTCAAACAAAACCTTTTTCAGGAATAAAGTTATGTCTAGTTTTTAATATGTATTTGTTAGTGATCTTGGCTGTGGGAGCTAACGTATTCATATATCTGAAGAGTCATGGGTTTCCTTTCCAGATTTTTTTTTTTATCAACCTATGTGTGTATTTATCTACATATGCTTTGACATAGACCAAATTTAGTTTTATTTTTCTCCTGATTTATACCTGTTTTTCATGATTTATGACAATTATTTAGTAGTAAATGCCTTGTGTCTACTGTAGCCTTTAATGCTGGAGTTGTAGCATCTGTTAGCTGCTTTTCTGTCTGGATTCAAGGGATCAGATCTCTAGGTACTACTTCTTCCAAAGTACCACAAATTGCCACATTCAATAACTGACAATCTAACTTGAGTTTTTAATTATATATTGCAGTGTTGTCAGTTCTGCAAAGATCATTTAAAAAAAAATTATCTGTGACAGGTGTATTTTGAGCCTTCTGGTAAATCAAGACAGCACAGAAGAATAGTTTAAAAATTCGCATAGGCAGGAATGTGTTTGAAGTAAGTGGTTGGTACAGATTTAAGGGTAGTTAAAATTATACTGTTATAAATATTTTTAGGATTTATGGCAAGTTCTTTATTTTAAAACGTGTTTGTTTTCATATAGCTGGAAGAAACCAATAATACATTAACCAAAGATGTTGATTTGATAACAAAGGAAAACACAGAGATCAATGAAAAATTTAAGAAACAGGAGGAAGGTATGTCATTTATGGAGTTTTAATTCATCTGTTTTGAAACACAAATGAATTTGAAGCATATGGGGAGAAATGGGAAATGGGAGAAGACATTGGTGTTTATCTTCCCTATTATTTTGGGCTTGATGAAAAACAATATAAGTAATTGTTTTAATCTTGAAAATATATCTTATATGTAAATTGCACCATTTTTAAAAAGGGTACAAAGGAACTACTGACCTGTCTGCCTTGGCTCTGTGCCTGGAAAAATCATGAAACAGATCCCCCTAGAAGCTCTGCTAAGGCACATGGAGGACAGGGAGGTGATGGAATGACTCCATCAGTGGACAAGGGAAGGGCTACAGATGTCATTTACTGGACTTCTGTAAAGCCTTTGACATGGTCCCCCACAATATCCCTCCTTTTAAATTGGAGAGATGTGGATTTGGTGGATGGACTGTTTGGTGGATGAGGAATTGGCTGGATTGTCTCATCCAGAGAATAGGGGTCAATGGCTCAGTGTCCCATTGGACATCAGTGACAAGTGGTGTCCCTCAGGAATCTGTACTGGGACCAGTACTGTTCAGTATCTTCATCCATGACACAGTGGGATCGAGTGCACCCTCAGCAAGTTTACAGATGGCATCAAGCTGAGTGATGCTGAGCCTAGGATACCATCCAGAGAGACCTAGACAAGCTTGAGAAGTGGACCTGTGGAAATCTCATGAGTTCAACAGAGCCAAGTCCTGCACCTGGGTCAGGACAACCCCCAGAATCAATACAGGCTGAGGGACGAAGGGATGGAGAGCAGCCCTGCTGAGAAGGACTTGGGGGTGCTGCTGGGTGAGGAGTTGGACATGAGCCAGCAATGTGTGCTCACAACCCCAGAAGGACAACCATGTCCTGAGCTGCATTGTGGGCAGCATCAGAAGTGTGGTCAGCAGGCTGGGGGAGGTGATTCTGCCCCTCTCCTCCATTCTCATGGGACCCCACCTGGAGTACTGCATCCAGCTCTGGGGTCCCCACCAAAGGAAGGACATGGACCTGTTGGAACGAGTCCACAGGAGGGCCACAAAGAGGATAAGAGGGATAGAGCACCTTTTCTGTGAGGAAAGCTGAGAGCTGGGCTTATTCAGCCTGGAGAAGAGAAGGCTCTAGGGAGAACTTATAGCAGCCTTTCAGTGCTTAAAGGGACTTATAAGAAAGATGGGGACAAACTTTTTAGCTGGGCTTGTAGCAATAGGACAAGGGATAATGGTTTTAAACTAAAATAGGGTAGATTCAGATTAGATATAAGGACGTTTTTTACAGTGAGGGTAGTGAAACACTGGAACAGGTTGCCCAAAGAGGTAGTGGATGTCCCATCCCTGGAAACCATCGAGTTCAGGCTGGACAAGCCTCAGGGCAGCTTGATCTAGATGAAAATACCCCTACTTACTGCCAAAGGGTTGGACTAGATTACCTTTAAGGTCCCTTCCAACCTAAACCATTCTATGTTTCTAAATTGTCACCCTGTACTATATTGTTTCCATTTTCATGTACTGTCTTTATTGTTGAAAATAATTAAAACCTCAGCTGTACCAGGTAGGAAGAAGTGAGTTTCTGCTCATACTACCTTTCCCACTTTTTAAAACAATTTAGTGCTAAGTTCCTGATGGCATAAGCAGGAATGCCTGTCCACTACAGCTCATCCATATATTGTCTGTCTAACCTCCTTCTTCCAGCCTTGCCCTTGTGTGCATAAAGTTATTTAGGTAAAGTATTTTCCGCATTTCATATTGCACACAATGTATTTATTAAAATGTTTGTGTCTATCTCCAGTATTTACAGTAAAGCCATATCAGTATTTCAATTTCCTTAAGATCTCACTTTGGCACGGAATCTAAGTTGTGATGTTATGCAGATCAGTGGATGGGCATTCTATTTATATGCATTCTGACTGTATGGGAAGGTACTTTTTGCTCCCATGGTTTTTCGTTTGTGCAAATTGGAATGCGTGCTTTAATACCTGAAGACTAAAAGAGTAAAGGCCTTATTGGTTCTGTTGCCAGTGTCTTTGCAAACAGTATGTAGGCTGGAAGGCATACTAAAATATTTTTCCTTAGTTTACATTTCCATAGTAGCAGGAATTGGGTGAGCAAGCATTTTCAGTATTTTTAAGTTTGTTACTTTTGAGTCCTTAAAAATCGTTCTTTAACTTTGTAGTTTTGGTGGGAAATTCTTATCAGTGAACTGCATACTTATAGATACTTCGGAAACAAATCAGCAGACTGGAGATGTGATAGAAAGATTGGTAGAATTGAGTAAATGGTGTGTGAGAGGGGGTGGGGGGTATGTAACAGAATCATTCCTTGTTTAAAAGAAAGCCTTTTTCCCCATGCTCTCTTCATGGCTGATATGAGAGTCTGTACTAAATATGAGTCCAGTCATATCAGTCTTATTCTGTGTGGGTACTGAAGTAATTTTTGGTACTGCAGAGACACTTTTGATAGTGCAAACATGAAGGAAGTGGAACAACTAACTTCATCATCATCAGGAAATAAAAATACATGTGTTGGCTTTAGTGTTTCATCTTGGTACCTTTCTGATATATCCTTCTAGTGATTTTCTATCATTATAGTAGCATTAAACTGGTAACCTTTATCTTTGCAAACTGTATTTTACTCAATAAGGGACACAATGGGAAAAGGGAGGGATAAAAAGAAGATGCAATTGTAGAAGCAATTAAGTTTAGAAATATTTATCTTGTCCTAAAATGTCTCAAAGTTGAATATTATTTTAACAGATTACAAAATGAAAAAAGAGGAGGAAATCAATAATATTAGAATGCATTATGAGAAGAGCATAAGCAATGAAAGAACTTTGAAGACACAGGTATAACTTTTTATGCAATTTAATAGCAACGATTACTTTGTATAACAGAAATATTTTAGGTTTATTGCTTTTGTGAACTCACTGTTGGTTCCTTCGAAATTCAGTTTATATTAACCATGATGTACAATATGCATTGTTGATATTTACAGTTGAAAGAATAAGTTTTGATGTTGTGTACTGTTCAGTATTACTTTGGTCATGAGTAAGGGCCGTTTATGTTGATGAAGGGTTTTTATTAGTTGAATCCTGTAACTAGAGGAACTAAGAAGTTTTGTATGAAACATGCTAGCATATATCATTTTTTCCACTGGTTCTCCTTTTTCTTAACAGGCTGTCAACAAACTGGCTGAGATAATGAATCGGAAAGATTTTAAAATAGACAGGAAAAAAGCTAACATGCAAGATTTGAGGAAGAAAGAGAAGGAAAACCGAAAGCTACAGTTAGAACTTAATCAAGAAAAAGAGAAATTCAATCAGATGGTAGTGAAATACCAAAAGGAGCTCAATGAAATGCAAGCGGTAAAATAATCTAAATTTTTTTTTGTCCCATTGTGGAATTGTCTCTGCAGGAAAAATGTCTTAACTCCTAGTCCTCTTGAAAAAAATTCTGTTTCAGGTGTTTTAGGCTACAGAATTTTAGTGAGGCAGAGAACTTGATAAGTGTGGGTTCTCATTCATTTCCCCTTTCTAAATTCTTAACTGTGGAAGTTACTGATATGTTACAAAGGCTAGAAACCTGAATACTGTTCAGCTTACTAAACTGATAGCAAACTACCAGTTCATTTCGCTGATAGATGGTCTCCTTGTCCTAACAAATGGTAATTTAATAGATGATTAGATGAATCTAGAATAGACTGTTTTATGCTTGAATACATTGCTGGATCTTTGATATTTAAGTTTTTTCCTTCCAAGGCTAAACAAAAACTTCTACTATAATAGTTTATGTCAATACTATCAAAAATATCTAGATATCTGAAAAAAATAGTAATGAGGTTTGTGTTCAGAATACTTTGGTATCCCACTAATTGTGCACGTGTATATAAATACAGCAACTAGCAGAAGAATCTACGTACAGGAACGAGCTCCAGATGCAGCTGGACAGTAAAGAGAGTGACATAGAACAACTACGAAGGAAAATTGTGGATCTCCAGCAAGGAATGGATTCTACCAGTGTTGCTAGTCTCCCGACAGATGAAACGGATGGAAATATTTCAGGTAAGAGAAAAACATATTGAACTACTTGATCTTGTGCATGCACATAGTTTTGGAAGGTATTCTTTCGAAAAAGTTACTACCTTTTAAAATCTTCTGTCTGTCTTTCTCTGTATCACATCTCTTCTTCCTTTCTTTGTTTGTTCATTTTTTTTTATTTCATAGCTTAGCTGCTTATATTTAATCTTAACTTATTCTCACATCACATTTTCTACTGTATTGCTTGGCATTAGCATAATTTATATCCACTTTTTGGAAAGAGTATCTTTACATTTGCTGTTTCTTGAATACAGTGAATACAATGGGCAGTGTTCAGTGAGCAGAATACAGGACCGGCATTTCCTCAACATAGTGATTGTATTTTATATCTTGAATGCAAACTTGCCTTGGTCTTGTCTGTTCTTACTCACAGTCATGTAGACCGCTGTGACAAGTGGCAATAATTGCTGATGTGAAAAATAATTGTAGGAATTTCCATTTATGGTTTTATGATAGCTGATTTAGGTTAAACTAAGAACAAATAATACAGTGTAGCCAGCCATTTCTATGTGGTGTCAGTTCCAGGCACTATACTTTGAGACCCACTGTTACATGGGTTAGTGATGTACCTCTCCCCTTCCCCAGTGTTTAAAAAGTGTAATCAGTTTGTACTTTCACATGATCCACTTCTGTATCTCTTGATACAGGAAAAGAAAATGCTTAGAGGCAATAAGCCATGTTTGACAATTTCCATATGTCAGAGTTAGGTTTATTATTTTTTTTATATGGGTAATTATTTTTAGAATTCATTGTGAACATCTTAATAAATAAACTTGTCGTACGTGCTTAAAGATTTATGGCCTGATTTCTATTGTTGAAAAATATTTTTAAACATACAAAACCAGAATACTATTTTGTGTACTTTAAGACTTCAGTGGATGAGTAGTCAGATAAAAGTAAATAGAATTATTTTAGGTGTGTCTTTTACTGTTAATGTACTTCATGCTGCTCAAATTGCCACATTCTAGAATTTTTCCAGGGGTCTTAGAGTGATTGAAATTTCAGGTAGGTCATGAGTGTTCGTATATGTTTTTGTGTAGTTATTCCTTTCTGTGTCTGTTTTTGTGTCCTGTCTTCCCGTAGTGTATTTTTAGATTTTTATTTTTAGTTAGTATTTTAATGAATTTCATTCTAGAATAGATTTTCGTTCAGATAATGATAGTAATTTTCTTCGCAACTTCCATTCTGTTCAAGAAGCCTTTTGCACTCTTCAGTGTGATCTGTAAAAGCCTCAGGCAATTGCCATCTTGTAAAGAGAATGTCTGTTTTTTGTCTTTTGAAAACATCTTCTAGACCAAACTTCCATTGAGTTCTTAGATCTGTTAGATTGGTTAAGGAACATTATTTTTCCTTAGCTAGGAAACTAGGAGTTCCTGCTGGGAACTCCCTCTGGTATTTCTGAACTATCAATACTTCTCAGGAGTTTTTCTTTTAGATACTCATTTGCAGTGTATTCCATTTAATGGAGGTAAAAAAGAAATCAGAGGGGTTCTTTTCTCCCCTCAAGTCACTATTTGGAATCAAGCCTTGTGTTTTTAAGTGTCTCCTAATTGAAGAACACTGTCGTTTGTAATTTTTAATTGAAAATTTCTGAATTCTTGTAAATTGAGAGGTGTAGGGTTTTTTTCTACAACAAAACAGACCTGATTTATTCTGCATAAAAAAGTAGTTTTGAACTTCATTGCTTTCCTTTTCAGCCATTTTCAGTTAATGTCTGTTATGTATTACACAGAAAACACAAATGCGTCCTTCTGGGCATAGATACCTTCCCTGTTTTCTTCTTAATGGTGGTAGTGTGTCAGTATGACCCCATTGTGTCTCAGATCTTGGAAAGACTAGGAAAAAAGCTCTTTCTTTGTCTGCCTAATTAAGGGAGGTTATTTTCAGTTTTACCTCTGGAGATGTGTAATCAGACTTCTGGCGGCATGACCTGTCACTTCAATTTTGAGGCAGAAATTTCAGTCTGTGCAAGAGCTTTTCAAGTCAGCTGTTCATTGTTAATTAGAACATCACAATTAGTAGAAGTTCTTTTGATGTTCTTTAGTGAGGGGTTTGTTTCTATACTCATGACCCCTCAAACTATTTCTTTTTTACTAGCCTTTCATTTCTCGTCTTCTCTTTTTTGCCCTTTTCTCTACGCATGCCTCTGATTTTTACTGCAGTTGTGCTGCTGGTGTTACTGTGTGATACAGGTAGGAAGTCTAATGCATATTATTAGGACTCCTCTAGATCGTGTTCCTACATGCTGCTTGTTTTTTTGGTTTGGCTTGGTTTTGGTGTTTTTTGGGTTTTTTTGAGTGAGTTGATCAGGATCTTAATAAGAAGCAGTTTAGTAATTAAAGGAGATGAAGTGACATTAGGACAGTCAAATTTCACACGCTTGTCAAAGAGCCAAGCAGAGCACAGAAAAGGAGTACAGTAGTGTTATAAGGACAAAAACCAGCCAGACTTCGAAGTAGAAATAGCCCGTGCCACAGAAAGAGGACATTATCCAGTGCACAGTTATTTTCCTGCAAATCAAGTAATTAGTCTTCAAAACAGAAGGTGACATATCACAGTGGTTCATTTGCTAGAATTTAGTTGTATGACATTGATTGTCTTCAACTATGTGCTAAGTTCCCATCACTTCCATAGCCCAAATATAGGCATTCCTTCAGAGCACCTTGAACAGCATCTTGTTAAAGAGCTGGATGTGATGAGCAGTCAATAGGATTCTCTGTCTGCTGCACCAGTTCTTAAAGCAAAGACATTCCTAAAAAAAATATGAAGCAAATAAATTGTCAAATTTCAAAATAAGTAATTATAGTATGATTTATTCAGTTTCCTGTCACAGCAAAAACATCACCAGGGGAAAAAAATGAAGACACAAAATAATGTGAACATGTATAAAAGAATGATTCCATAGTCTCAATTCTGGCAGTGGGCAGGCAGTCTCTGGTTTAATAGAAGAAAAAAATTGGTATGAAATGGTGTAATAGTAAAGTTGTTGGAATTCCAGAGAGACCCTGGCTCTTTGGCATTTTCTGCTGTCCTGCATGGCAGAGAGGTTCGTGTCTTGTCTAATTGGGGAGTTTAGGTTACCAGCCACCAGAGAGGCTACAAAAGTAGAATTCACAATTTATAGGAAGAGCCTCTTGTAAACTTTTGGGGTCAGAAAGATTTGAATAAACTCAAGGTAATACTAAAATGAATTTTTAATACTCAGAAAATTTTAAGGAAAAAATTCTCTATTTAGAGGTAGATACAGAGAAATCACATGGTAACACACCTTTTACAGCTGCATTTCACTTGGAGGTGGTTTCTGTCTGTCATTGAGCTAAATACCCCTCAAGTTCTGGTAGCTCCCAGGGCAGTTTATGCTCTCCCATGGTAGGGATTGGCCCCTTTAGACCATCCAGGCTGTTCTCAGGCTTTTGCTTACTTAGGTGGAAAAATCACAACGTGGAGGAAGGTTTTCCTTGTATTCAGTTCTAGGCATGTTTAGTAACTCTCACTCCTGATTATTGATTCAGATAGCAGCTCATATCTCAGCTGATATCTCCAGTGTTAACAGTCCTTGCTGAAACAGCTGAGATATTTGCTTTTTAATGGTGCCTTTGGAATGCCTCTTCCTCCTGGCTGGACTTAGGAAGTCTTAATACTTGCATGATTGTAAACAGAATTCTTCTTTGTCAAGACAGAACATAATCAGGAACTTAAGTTTTTTTTTCTCCTAGCTGTTATAGGGCACTTAACCTGTTGTGAATTGCTTCTTTTCATCTGATTGGCAAGATAATTTGAGCAATTGAGCTGACCTACAGGTTTAACTGCAGCACATAATATTTTACAGCATGTGTTATAAATCATGTTTTGTGCAAAGATGGGAGGGAATAATAAACATGGAGCATTTAAGCCAACAGTTTTATTGCAATATGGACTCAGCTAGGACTTTCTGAAGTACCTGCAAGTAGCCGTCACCTGAGTAAACTTCAAGGCAAGATCCAGTTGGCAGTCCTTGGTGAGATACACATGAAATTATAGTAAGACAGTCTGAGGAAGGAAATAATCAAGTGGGAAGAGTGGACTGGAAAGAATTAGCAAGGTAGTATCTCCATGTTTTTGTTAACTGTGGAAGAGTCTTGAGGAGTAGGAATTCTAAAGCATTGGAAAGAGGTGCTCTGCCGCTTGTGAAAGCGCCTGTGCTACTTAGCTCCAGAACAACAAAACATCTCGTAAATCAGGACAGCCATGGTTGTCTTGTCTGTAAGACTTGGTTTATTGAAGTCTTACAGTTAGAACTCACTGTTATCATACTGAATCCCTATGAATCCTGGCAGTATGAATACTAACCATGAAGATGTTTAGAATAAAAATCTCAATTTAAAATCTATTCAGAGATAACTATAAGATCTGTAGCCTTTATGAAATTCTTTCTTCATATCCTATTCAGATCCAGCTAGCCGTAAGATATTTTTGAGGCCTAAGCCATCAGATATTTTTGAGGCCTGTCTTAGATTTTCTGGACTGCAAATAAAGTATCAATTCTGTGATTCTTTCCAAAGTACAGGGACGTTTTCAGGCAATAGTTTTGAGGCTATTTTTAAAGACAGGGATGGAAGAATCTTTTTCATAGTCTAGATAGCCCGTATTTTCTTAATTACTTAATCAGAACACTCATAAATATTATTCTTCTGGATCAAATATTTGTGAAATGGCCAGATGAGCATTTGCAGTTGTGCTAGCTAACTTGTCGAGGGAAATAAAAATGCACTATAAATATTACTTGGAAGAAACCTTTGTGGCAAGGTTGGAATGAAAGAGCTCATCTACCCTTTTAAGAGTACATTTGGTTCCAGACGAATGTTAGCTTTGTTGAAAAGGAGTGTGTTCAGAAACTTATTTCCAACTGCAAGATGTTATTCACAGCTCAGAAATCATCTCTCATTCAAACAGAATTTTCTCACTAAAATAGATTTGTAGTAGACAGAAAAGAATGTCAACTGATTCATTTGAAATACCTCATTCACTTCCTACTTCTTTTGAAATTGTTTTCAGAATGTGCCGAAATAGAAGTGAACTTAGAACAACTCCTGCTCATACTGTCCCTATAAGCATCTTTTAAAATGTATTATTATTGGATCTTTCCAGATTTTCATATGCTGCAATTTATACAGATGCATACGTATTCTCTTTGAACAACAGTCATCCTTCCTGTATTCCTTCTGAACTGCAGTCATCCACAATATGTTCTTTATTAGCAATTAATCCCTTTATTTTGCAAGGGACGAGTTGAGTTTTAGGGTCTTTCTGTAATTTCTAAAAATGGAAGACTCTCCTCCTGGTGTAAGAATCAAGGTGTTCCAAACAAGGTAAGCATTGTCGGTGATGCCTGTAGACATGAAGGAAATAGGTTTCCTTTTCCACAGCTACTGTATCAAGAAGAGGGGAGGGGTTGAGGGCAAAACCCCCAAACCCCATTTTTCTTATGGAGATAGGAGAGGCAGGGAAGTGCAAATTTCCTTCATTTTTCTGGGATATTCTCTTACTGAAATGAATTCTACTATCATGGCTTTCTTCTGATTGATTTCAGTAGTTCAGTGGTCCCACAGTATTTTAGGCTATTCTGTGTGGAGGAATGTTAGGAAATGATTCTATATTTCTAAGTGTAGTCATCTTCTAAATATTGTAATGCTGTAAGGCTAATATGGGAAAGTCTTTTTCATGCCTGACTTTAATACCTTGCTAGGCTGTCAGTCTCACTGTAATTTTACAGAGCAAAGCATATGGACAATAACTTAGATATTTGGGTGTATTTTTGGAGCTTACTGCAATATACCTCACAAAGAGTTATTCCTGAAGGATAAAAGGGACCAGTAGCTCCTTCTTACATAAGTATTTGTGGAGAATAGTTCAGAAAACTTTAACTTAATGTTTTAGAAGTTTTCAGTGCTGCCAGTTAAGTTTATTATGAAGAATACATACATTAGGTATTGGCTCTGTTTCTGTTTTCTGACACTTTTTTTTCAAATCACATTTTTACAATAATTTAAAAAAAAAATCTCAATTGTGAAATAGATTTATGGACTGAAATTTTGATTACTTCATTCTAACATTTCCAAAATTGTGGGACTTTACTGTGTCATTTCAGGTTAATGGAATAACGATAGCTTCTCACTATCATTGTCTGGTTTCATAATTTTAAATTTTAGAAACTACTGTTAGTTAGCTGGAAGGATTTTTTAAATCTACCATTCACATTAGGCAGAATGCCAATTTTCTTGTGGCCCTTCTTTGTATCATTGCTAAATTATTTCAGTAGTTTTGTAGTGGGAACATACATTATTACATTGCTCTTTGGAGAATTTTTCACTGAAAATTTGAATAAAATGCTTGTCTCTTATTCTTTGTATCTAGTTGATTCTTCCTGCATTCCTTATTTAATTATCTCCTATGCTTATCTTCTGTGAGTAATGGGGACACCCTTGTAGCTTTGCCTGCTCTTGTGCTCTCTCTCCCTTTTTTGTTTCCCGTGGAAAATATGGATCTGATTTGTTTTACTTCCTGCATCTTCCTGCTGATTATTTTCATATAGCCCCTCTGAATGTTAAATTATGTTTATATTGAAAAATCTCTTAATTTAAACTGTAACATATTTTCAAAGCAAAGTGTTTCCTGCCTGGCTCTTTGCATACTATTTACATACAATGTTAGATGTTGGCATCAAGGAGAACAGCTTTACTTTTATTGTGCAGTAACTGTGTAATCAGATGTTGGCTTGTGATAAAGCATGAATTAAATGCTTATATCTTCATTTTATTTAGCTGTGCTTTTTATTCTGCTTTGCTGAATAGGTAATTGCCTATTACTGCATGTGGTACATCTTCCTTTCTTGTAATAGTTTGCTTTTGTGTTATCCTGCTTTATTGTTATAAATACGTGAAATTATTAAATATGCATTTTTTAAAAACCAGAATCAAGACTTGAAGGTTGGCTTTCAGTACCAAACAAAGGAAATATAAAGCGGCATGGCTGGAAGAAACAGGTACAAATGTCTTTTTTTTTTTTTTCTTCTTCCTCAGTTGGAAAAGTTTTTAGGCATGCCCTGAATTGGTTTTACTACTCATATTTAAGAACCAAACAAAATAATTAAGAGTAACTTAGTGTGTATAAAAAAAGGAAACAAGAAAATTCAAGTTCAGTTTGAAATCTTTAGTAATGACTTTGTGTAAATTTATCAACAGGTGGGTGAGGAAATGCTTTACAATGGGCATTTTGGAATCATTAAAAATCTCATTTCTTCTCTGAGTAAGCTTCTTTATAATCCTGTTACTAAAAAAGAAGCTCCATGTGCAACTTGACAGGAGAGAGTAGGGAATACTACACCTAAATGTTCTGAAGGTCATGGAAGACCTTCGCACACAGACATCACACTATAACTTGCCACACATGATCTCCAAGGACTTTTTTATCTTCCTTACCTTTAAAATGGCCAGTGTCTCTTCAAAAGAACTGGTTTACTTTCAGAAACTGGATCTCTTTGCTGGAATTCCCAATCCAAACAAAACAGTACTCTTTTGCCTCTGCAGAGGTTATGATCTGCTTCTTTGAAATGTCAGATGTTGAAATTGAGATGCTTAGAACTAGTTTCTGATTATCTTTTCTGTCTTTTCAGTTCCCCTCTGTGAACATTCTTTGGTATAATTAAATGCCTAAGTGAACATGGTCACCAGATTTCTGTAAATTTTACAAGCAATTTGTACAAAGTAGTTTGTTTCCCTGCATCTTCTTAAATTCAAAGATCACTGTTGGGAATGATTCAGTTTATTCATGACAAAGTAACTTTCTGCTTCCCGCTAAAAGGTCTTTCTCAAATGCTCCTGTTTACATTCACATTCTACAAGTGTTAGAAGTGGTTCCTACAAAATTTAAGGGAGAAGGAATTAATTCCTGTCAAAGAAGCACTTAAGTGTTTGCATTGGACCTTTAGCTGCTGAACTACTTCTTTCAAGTATTCCTGTTTTCGCTTGGCTAACACGGCCTTCTTTATACAATCTACGTATTTTGAGTTCCAGACCAGACTATTTTTACGTCAATATCAGACTGCATTGATTTGTCTGTAAGTTAAACCCACCACCTATTGTGGCTTGCAGAAGAGTGAGTGTTAAGTTCCACCTTATTTCAGCTAATGGATGCTTAAGGTATTCTCCCAGCCCCTCAGATGAGAGGCAATGTGCCATTTTGAAAATGCTTGGTTACCACAGTTTGGAATCTGGGGTTTCTTATAGATACCTCAAATTCTGTTCTCTCTCTGTTTCACTTTGTCTCCTTATTAGCAGAAGTGAGGGAAATCTAGAGGACGAGGTTAGAATGTTCTTGATGCCATATTTGATTCAAATGCCAGTAGCATTTGAATGATCTTCAGGTGTCTCACAAAACACACCTGTTTGTAAATCTATTCCACAACTTCTTCTGTTTGATAGCTAAGGCTGCTTGACTCCTCTTGTTCCTGAATTGATTTTCTGGGTTGCTGTCAGACTTTTGGCAGTGTCCACAAGCAAAAGTGACTGTGCCTAGGCACAAATCATGTAGCTTTGTTCTGTTCTGGATTATTTAAAATACTGCATCATTTTCCTGTCAGAATACCTCCAGCAGCCTTTTATGGTTGTTTTTTAGAAGTGGAGATTATTCTTGCATCCTCTGATGATTGAAATGTTAAAACTCTTGATAAATGCAGCTTCTCCAGTGAAAGACTATATCTGATCTTCTTTGGGCATGGCCAGTGTAGGCATATTTACTTCCCTCAAGATATTTTATGCAGTTACTCCATTCATACTTTCCTAGTTCGAGTAATACACTTTGAAGGAATTTGAGCTACAGATGGATGCTTCTGTCATGAGTCATACTGATAAGATTCCTTAAACTAGCTGAGGCTCAAATCAGTGACACACAGTAGTGAGGAGCCATGCTGATTTACATGTGTGTCCTGTTGGCTGAACTGTACTGCAGCTGAAACAAGCTGGTGTGGAGTCAGCCTCCTCAGGTGCTTCTGTTCCAAATTCTCCTGCAATTTCAGTTTTGGGCTTGGTGGGAGGTATGCAGCCTCAAATATAAGCATGCCCAGATCAACTTAAATGGAAAGCAGAATTGCATTAGCACTGCAATTGGGTTGATGCCGGAGTTGTTACAACTTGAGCTGCTGCATTTCTGACTCAAATATCAGTAGCACTGATGTTTTTGCCCCGTGCCCTCTGAGTCATTTAGCTTAAGTTAGAAAAGGGTGAGTGTGGAAAACTTATTTGAGAATAAACACTTGAGTTATACCTCAAGCTAATGCTAAAATGTGTTAGCCATGCTTTTATCTGGAGCTTCGTTTTATCCCGAGTGGAGGTGATAAAATATCCTTCCAAAACCACTGTAGAACAGAACTACTGTCAGAAGATTTTTTTTTATATATGTTCACAACAGGATATCAAGGCTGTTGTACATAACTTTTCTTTTGTGAGGTTAAATTGTTCTTTAACCAAGAATTGTATATAGTGTGATAACTGAATTCCCTTGCAGTCAGAATTTGCATCTGTGATAGTTGTCATCTTAAGGCCTTGGTCTTGTCTGTGAAAGGCAGAAATGCACACTTCAAAAACAAAAAAAGCATTAGCTTTCTGTTGAAGTAGATAAAGGAATTGAAGCAGTCTTTTTCTTCAGTGGGAAAAATCACTAGAGGCTCACACTATTACAACTTAGTACCTACTCAAGTTGATCAGGCTTCCCATTAAAGAATTGTGACTAAAGGGCTGAAAGCTCTTTAAGTTGGGGCCAAAACAGCCTCTGTGGCTTTTTAAGATGCATTTCAGTAATTGAGATTTACAGCTGTAGCACACAGCTTGCACAACACATTTCTAAAATGCTATTCTATAAATTTGTTAAGGTAACTTTCATATTCAGGTTTTGAGGTCAGCTTAAAGTCCTGTGTAATGAGGAGGTTGAAACCTCCTCTTGTAGAAGGAGTAAACACTATTAATTTAAATTGTCATTATCTTCGTTGTGCAGAAACTCATTCAGTTTTACCTACCAGTAACTGGAATTCAAGATGAACTGTTGGTGTATTCACTCTCATGGTTTTCTGTCCTTTCCCCTGCTTCTGGGTCATATTATACATGGAGTTCAATATAGACAGAGCAGTCAGTTTGCCTCTTTTTAGTCCTCTTTAGTACCTCATACCATTTAGTTGTTTCTAAAACATTTGAAGCTGCAGGGGAGGGAACTGCCACTGGTGTCACTGAGCTTATGCTTGTGGACAGTTTCAGCTGTCATTCCTAGATTTGGAATGTATACCAGACCTCTGTTTCTGCTGATTCATTTTGTCTCTTTATTTCACCAGTTCATTAAATTGAAAGTGTAGGAAATAGTTAGCTGGCGCTGTGAGAATCTCTTCTAAACTACCAGTAGTTTGGTGCAGGTCTGTAGAACTGCAGAAGTTGTTTACGACTTTACCATCAAGTGATAGATTTTGCACTGTATCACTCTGTGATGCATAATTTTCATGGTAACATGCCAATAGCAATTGAAATTTGTGAGTTTGTGTGCAGATGGACTTCCAGAATCGTGACAAGCATTTTATGGTGCTTCAGTGAAAATACAAAGTCGCTGAGGCTGTAGCATTGCCCAGCTGTCAGTAGTGTATCTGCCTGCATGAATATTTAAATATGTCTTGATATTAGTTTAAAATCTTTCCTTTACTCAGGCTTTACATGTGTGTGTAGGAGAACATTAGGATAAATGTTGCTTTTTAAAATGCAGTTTTAACTTCTCTTTATCCTTTCTTTCCACAGTATGTTGTGGTGAGCAGTAAAAAGATACTGTTCTACAATGATGAAAAAGACAAGGACCAGTCTAATCCGTCTATGGTACTAGATATAGAGTAAGTAAAGTTACTGGTAGTTTTGGATGCAAATTGGGAAAAGAGCCTTGTGCGTGAGATAACTGATAACAAATCTAAAAGCTTGAAATCAAAATTCCATAAGTAATTTTTAATTTCCCAAACTAGTTGGAAAATGTCTGTCTGTATTTCAGCATGCTGTTAACAGAAGATACTGCTTTCTCTTTGTTCTGCTATTGCTAAAAGTTAGAGAAAAGAGAAAGTATCATTGCTCATCTAGTTCAAAGCATTTCTAACTTTTCCAGATGGTTTCTGTTTAAAGTGATAAAATAAATTAATTGTGATCCCTTTACATTTGTTGTACATGAGGAAAATTGTGTCAAATATCACTGAAGCCCATCACTGATACATGACTGTGATGTTTGAACAGCTGATGGACATTATAGGACCTTATAGAGTAGTAATTGAAAAAAGGTTTTAGAATTCATGAATAGGTCTGTAAGTGACTAACAAATACAGTGGTCTGGAAGGAATCTCAAACTCAGGAAGTGCTTAAGCTGCCAATTGCCTATAACCAGGAAAAGAGTTATTTTCTCTTATTCTCTTTTCATAAACATCTGTTACGGCTACTGTTGAAAACAGGATGTTGGGATAGATGGACTTGACTGAGTATAAGATGATGTCTGTTCCAATTTTAATAGCATTTTTGACAGCTGGTGCCCCAGATTTCCTTTTGTGATGTTTTAGCATTGATTGTTTATCAACTCATAACAATTTAGTAAAAAAACTAGTTAGTAGTATTCTATGGTTACTTCCATACAGGTTTATCACTAGGCTATTCTAGCAATAATGTTAGGCTTCCTAGTGTTCTGAGGAGGAATTTGAAAGCCTTTTTCACGCGCAAATTTGCCATGATGGATCTTGAGCTCGTTGTAAGGTAACCCTCTTTCCATGCTACAGAATATTTTGATCTTTCTTGGGTAGACAAGATCTATATGGTTTATGAATTAATTCCTACAATCATATTGCAGCCTTGAAGTAGGTTGTATTGCTTGCATAAGCAAAATTTCCAAGAACTTCAAAGCAGTTTGATAACTGTTTTAAAACATATGTAGCCTTTTAGCATTCTCTGATTTATGTTTCTTCTAATTTAGTAAGCTGTTTCATGTCCGGCCTGTAACTCAAGGAGATGTATATAGAGCTGAAACTGAAGAAATTCCTAAAATATTCCAGGTAAAAAGAAGTTTATTCTCATGTCTGTTTAATTCTCTTGGAAGTTTGGCAGCTTCTTTGAAAAGGGTATAAAAGTACATAGTGCTTCAACAATAACACAGCAGCATTCTTTTTCAGATTCTCTATGCTAATGAGGGGGAATGCAGGAAGGATTTGGAGGTAGAACCAGTACAGCCGGCAGAGAAGACAAATTTTCTAAATCACAAGGGCCATGAATTTATTCCCACATTATACCACTTTCCAGCCAACTGTGAGGCCTGTGCCAAACCTCTTTGGCATGTCTTCAAACCCCCTGCTGCCCTAGAATGTCGAAGATGCCATGTGAAGTGCCACAGAGACCACTTGGATAAAAAGGAGGAATTAATTGCACCATGCAAGGGTATACTCATTTTTTTTTCTGTTCTGTATTCTCTTCATGGTTTAGCCACACCTGTTAAACTATTGGAGGCAAATAAAAGCACTTTAGTTTAAAACTAAACCTAAAATTAGAGTTTTATCGTTTTAAATGTGGAAGATTAAAACAATAGGCTGTTACACTGCTTATGAACAGGCAGCTGTGGCAGTCCTCTGTAGCCTTTCATGGTGTAACTGATGGGGCTCTGCTGAGAGCCCTGAGAGCAAAAGGTTCCCTGAAGGTTTGTGCCCAAGTACTGGGCAGCTCCCTGGTTCCCAAATCATTCTCTCTGTACTTATACCTGGCCCACTTTAGGGACAGTTGCAGTGGCTGCATCACCAAACTCTGCTAAGATCTTGCAGAGTGGTTCTTCAGCCACCTCACAGATTGGAGTAAAGGTTTCTTCTCCGTGCTCCTGTGAAGTGGAGCATTCAGGGTACGTACTCTGGAACTTGGCCATAAGGCATCCATACAACTTTTCAGCTTATTAAGACTGCAATTGGTGTAAGTTTTCTCATTTCTTGAATATTAATGGTAGACTCAAGAATCTTAATGCAGAGTGACAAATATTGAAGAACGTTATATTCATAATCTCCCCTGCTGTTTGTTATCTTTCAAAAATATATAAATAAATCCAATACAAGTATGGATATTTGTTCTTTCCAGTGGCACAGTTAGTATGTCATAATTCTGATTTTGATAACAAGTCCTGATTTTCACTGAATCATTTTCCTCCTTTTACAGTGAGTTACGATGTAACTTCAGCAAGAGATATGCTATTATTGGCATCCTGTCAAGATGAACAGAAGAAGTGGGTGACTCATTTAGTAAAGAAGATCCCTAAGACACCACCATCTACTTTTGTTCGTGCTTCTCCTAGAACTATGTCTACAAGATCCTCAGCAAATCAGTCATTCCGAAAAGTTGTTAAAAATACTTCTGGGAAAACCAGGTGAGAAATAAACTACAAGAACGAAGTATCTTTTTGATTAAAAAAGTGTCTGTGTATAAATCCTATTTAATGCGGAGTTATGAAATAATTCCACAGTTACGACTGTTGAACTGCTGATCTAAATCTCTGCTCAAATCCCAAAGGAAGGAGCAGACAGAATTCTCTTGCTATCATGGTAAATTTGTCGGTTCTTCACATTTGGAAAGGTAGCGTAGAGTTGGTACCTGGCCTGCCAATACATGCAAGGGAGCTGGTTGCATTTTTGTCCTGTTTAAAGGCAAGACTCAGCAAATATGTCAGCAACAGCAGTTAACTGCAAGGAGCATCCATGTAGTCATCTCGTCCATGGATTGACTCATAGAACCTGTGTAAGCTAAAAGTCTTCTGCAGATGGGGGTGAAGTGAAAAACTTACAGATTCTCAGTCTGTTGTTAGGACATTTCTTTTGCTGGAAGGCTGCTTAGATATTGGTTCCATTCTTTCTCCCTGCTTACTCATTCCCTGTCTTCTATTCCAGCAGTTGTTTTTGTAAGCTGTTTGTGACCCTGTGCATTAGCTGGGGCAAGATGTAAAATATGTTTTCTTAATGTTAGGTTACTGTAAGCTGATTTCAACCTGCCTTACCTTCCTCCTATAGTATGTGTGTCCCTTTCTCCCCAGCTAACTGATTGAATTGACAGTGTAAATGGAAACTAGTGTCTCAGTAGGGAAAGTCTTCCTAGATTGGCAGGGCTACCAAACATTCCTTGCACGAAAAAACCCTGAACTTTTGCATGTAAAGAGACACTGGGTGTATCATGAAACATCCTCCTGCAGAGGACCATATTTTATATGGTATTTCCAGTCAGTATAATTTACTACCAGATTTACATTTAAATTTTGCTGTCTATTCTCAGCTTTATTTGCCTCAAGACCCATTAAAACAGTCTGTAGTGTCTGAAATAGTATCCCTGATTTTACTGAAAACTTTGTAAACGGAAAGATACAAAGGGTGCTGATTTTCTTGTCCCTAAGACTTATGTCCTAAAACATAAGCGGTCACAGAATCATAGAGTGGTTTGGGTTGGAAGGGACCTTTTAAAGATCACCTAGTTCCAGTCCCCTTGCCATGGGGAAGGACACCTTTCACTAGATCAGCTCCATCTAATGTGGCCTTGAACGTTCCCAGGGATCATAGTTTTGAGATAGTAATATATTCAGTGAAGGTCCCCAAGATAATTTCATTCAAGAAAATTACTTTAGGCCTCAAATACAAAGCTGTCAATATGAAAATCAGTAATGTTGCAGGCAGTTTGGTATTAGAGATGATAATGCAACAGCGTGAGGAGACCAACATAAAAAGAAATCTGTGAGCAGCATGTTGTGTTAAGAACATGTAGCTGTGCCAGAGCCTTTGGGGGAGAAGTCATATTCACAAACACTGAACAAAGTCTCAGTTCCCAAGTTACAGTTCAACTGGTAGGAACACAACAGAACCATGATGTAATTTTACATTTTTCAACACTGGCACTTAATCAAGCCAAAGTTCTGAAACACATAAACACTTCTGATGGGGAGATTTCCTGGGAAGTGGGCAGTTTTACCTACGGTCTTCTCTGTAAAAATCTGTTTAAAATATGGGTGAGGGCAGTGGAAAAGCACATAGTGATAAACCTGAGCTAAGAATGATGGTAAAATCAGAGTTTCCTCACTGAATAGTGGCATCTTCCGTATTGTACCAAAAAAAGATAAATTAGTAATTGTTAATTCCCGGGGGTTTCAGTCATGTTTGTTATGTACTTACGTTGTGTGTACTTGTGCAACAGAATCTTGTTAAACTATTTATCTTGTCTACGAAGTGTCCATTTCTCTCAACTTCCAGAAAGTTTTATAAAGCTTTGTGGTATTTCCAAATTTATTTTTTCCTTCAGTCCTCAATTTTCCAAGATTTACTGAAAAGTGTTAGACCCTTCCAGAGGCTTTAGCCAGATCCTTTAAGACTAATTCCCCCAAAATCAACCAACCAACCAGCCAGAGGGGTTGGAAAGAATTATTTTTAATATGTTATTTACTTGCATCTTTAAGGTGTATTAACTGGAATAATCTAAAACAATATTTGGAAGATCCTAATTGTACGTTTTAGAAATCATCCTCTGTTTTTGAGTATACAGATTCTTTTCTCCACCTTGTCAAGCCTTGCCTTGGTAAAGAAAGTGCATATTTCTTAATTTCACAATTAGGTATTTAGAGTTGAAGACTTTTTTTTCCAATAGACTATTTGAGTTATATTCTGGGTATAATTTCCTTTCCATTTATCATTACAAGGTCCTCTGGTAGCTGTAATAACCAGCTTTAATTCCATACTCTTAAATGGAAGAAAATCCATTTTCTTAAATCAATTCTTTTCCACTCTCTCTTAATAGAAATGCTGTCTTGGAGTTTCCTTTAGCAAGGACAGCTTTGCAGCTAATCTATTATAGAATGAACAGATTTGCATATTTGAAAATTTGTAGTAGCTCTTAAAGGAAAGGCTCAGTTTGCGTAGATCGGTTATCCAGACCATTTCTGTTACTATTCCTGTTTCTCCTGTGACAGTGTTACAGAATCATAGAAATACACAAGTAGTGAATGGAACTTTTTTGAGAAATGAGAAACACCATCATTAAAGCTCTGGTTTTAAAATCCTAAAGATCCAGTGAGGATCCTAAAGATCTAATAGCTCACCAGCACCAGAAGGAGGACGGCTGCACATTCCTGAGCTTTATCCTTTGTCAGTTCATGGTTCACGGATTACCAGAGTCAACTGATCTATTTTTCAGCAGAAAATTAATCCAGGAATGTTTTGACTAAAGGAAAGCCAAAAAACCCAAAGCATAACAACAAAAAAAACCCCTAACCCTCACGCCACAGAAGAAAAGCATGTGGTTTTCTGTTGGATTCGGAAGTTGCAGTGGTTTGTGGAAGAGTCTCAAGAATGAAAGGAGGAAGGGTGAAGTCTTGCACTAGTGAAGTAACAGGTCAGATCAGCTGTTCAGAATACTTCAGTCTTGCATTTTCTGCATCTACCCCAGTGTACTGCCTGTGTTGCCACCCTTCCCCATCACCCAGGGAGATCTTCCAAGTTCTTGGGAAGAAATAAAGCTGTGAGGTTTTCTGTCAATTCAGAAGTTAATACCTGCATGGTATCTTATCTCTTTGACTGCTTGGATTTATCTAACAGACAGATCCCACGGATGTGGATCAGACAGAAAACATTTATATCACTCTTTTAGACTGACCCCAAATCCGTCAGTGAGTATGATGACATAACTGATATTTGACCTTAGAATTTTGCTTCTTAATGATGTCAAATACTGGCAGAGCTTCTTAGAAAAAACAATTAATTACAGGAAACTCTGTTTTAATGCTGCATATTGTAGGCACTGAGTATGGGGGAAGAATCATATTGAGATTAAGCCATTTAGAGAGGCACAGCACTTGACCAGCAAGGGTGCTGGGTATGTGCGTGCTCCCGGCCTGTTGTGCTGCATGGAGATGTGTGCAGGGGGCAGGTGGGGAGCCCCTGCACCTTGCTGATGCTTGAGGAGCTGCTTGTGGCATGTCCCCATCAGACAGCTGCCACTGGGTTGACTGGGATGTAATGGGGCTTGTGTGGCACCTGCAGGGCAGTGTGAGCAACTAATGAAATGATTCAGAGTTATACTGAACAAAGAAGCATTAGGAAAAGGCCAGGTAGGAACTTCTCTTTCTGGCTATTCTACTGTGGACATTTTTGTGGCTTTCTCAGACAAGTTTGTTGTTAGTTGTATCTATGAAGTAGACAAGTGCTGCTGTGATGGAGTATGCCAAGCCTGTGCCCTCATACCATTGCATATTTCACCTGATATGTTTAGAACGAAGAGGCATTGGATTTATTGGATTTATTTTAGGAAAATTCACTTCCGATGTACCAGATGTTTAAATTTAGATTATTGAATAAATTTGCAATGGATCTTATGTACTGAACACTTACCGTGATTGCATGGTAGCTGAGCTAATCTGACAGAGCATTTCCCCTCTGTGTCTTCCTTCCCTGCTTTTCTGTCAGTGGATCCTGGGGAAGTGCTTGAAATGATCCATTTTGGACCTTTCCATGAAGGCCCACAATTCAGTTTCCTGACTGTCAAAAATGTGTAGACTTACTTTGCTGAGCTAGTGAGTGGATCAGCATGCTAAGAAGTGCAGTGATTGCCAAAGCTGAGGGCTGGTAAATAGGAGGGTCAGGAAGGTGATAAAGTGAGGAAACAGCAGCAACAGCAGGCTCTTTTCCTTTCAAGAGGCAGCAAACTGTTAGATCTGCTTTTCTGAACTCAAGACACTGCACCCTGCAGTTCTCCTCACCTCTTAGGCAGGGGAGTAGGAGAAGCAGTGATGATTTGTATGGGATACACATGTTAAGTATCTGAAAATTGTTCTCTTGTCAGGCAGTATAGCAGAACTTGCCCTCGGTGATGGAGTCCTACCATGTAAGCAGGCATTATTACCTATTTTGTCGAACGGATACAGACATTAACACATGCTTGAAGACATTTCAGTCCATTTCTTTCGGGGTCTGACCCACCTTTCTTTGCTGTTGGTAGACAGCACTTCCTTGACTTAATGGAGAGGTGTCTCAGAGCCATTGAAAGAAGCTTCACATATAAAAGTTCATCTTAAGTTCTATTCCTGATTTTAATAACTTACCACTAATAAATATGAATCAGAACTTCTTGATGAACTCGCTGGCATTTGCAGCACTGCTTCGAGATTGGAAACTACACTTCATAGTTCATAGTATGCTGATTTATTCACATTGTATCAGCACAGTTGAGGTGTTTTCTTTTGATCTATTTGGACTTGGGCACCTGGTCAAGTTAATGCATGTTTAAAAAAGAAAACAACCAACCAAGCAACCAAAATTCCTGTGCATCAGATGAGCTCTGGCAGCTGCATGCGCGTGCTCTTAGCCTAGAGAGCCTTTTCTTGTCCTGCAAGTGAAAGAGGGTCACCTAGCATTTGCCATGAATACACCCATAATTGTTTACTGTTCATCACTTGGAAAGCTGCTGTAATATTATTATCATCTGTCTGATCTCTGTGTTCATTTAATGTTGTTTGAAATTAAGAACAGTTTGTGGAAGATCATATAGGTGCGTCCTAGTATTTTGTACCGTGTCAGTTGAAAAAAATACTCCGTTAACATGAAGTATTTTCTTCATGAAGCTCTTGGCAAACATGCACTGATGTTATGAAGCTAATTTTTATATTTGTTATTAATTGTCTGTTTTCTTCTTTGTTCCAGCTAACCACATGTACAGTGCTTAACGGAATCTCATGGGATGCAGTCAGAGAAACAGGGCTTTTTTTAACCACACAGAGCAGTGCAGACAGGCTGTTGTTCTTTTCAACGTAACTATCACAGGCTTCAGGGTTAAGATTGCTATTACTGTCTCCTCCTTGCTTTGGCACAAAAGCACGCTGAGGGTGTTTAATTGCGGGTTTGCCTCAAGGTAGATTAGATTAATTATTACTATGTAATGCAAGTTAAAGCAAATAAAGCTTAGCTAGGTGTATAAAAAAAAAGAGGTGCTGCCTTTTTGGATTTTTAAAAAAAGCCTGTCAATCACAATGAAATGCAGCCAACTTTCTTCATACCAGTGAAAGAAAAGGACTGTTAACCCTGTGAAGGGGATATTTATGTCAAGATGAGCATATGAAACCGAGTAGAAGAGGAAGGTTTCTCAATGAGAAGGACTGCAATTGCTTTCAAGACTCTAAGTTGTGCTCTTGAAGACTGCAGAACTAGCTTAAAATGAAGCCTTATCACTTGAACTTCAGTGCCTTCACTGCAGAGTTCTTTACAGCCTTAATGCTAACCACCCACTATGGAATGGATCAAAGTGTTAAATATTTTGCATTATGCTTTACAAAATACTGATGCAGCAGGTTTGTAAAGGGGGGAAACAAGTAATTGCCTTTAATCTATGCATTTTTGCCAAGCCATACTGAATTATTTTATTGTTAGAGGCATTAGAAACTAACAGCAAAAAGAACCACGGAGTTTGGAAGCATATTTTGGGGTACATCATTTCTATAACTGTATAATGTATTGCCTTACAATTTTAAATGATAACGTACATTAAGTTAACAAACATTTAAGAAATATATGCACTGTTTGAACTGTAAATTATTCTTAGAACACTTTTACTTGGTTTTACATTGATCTTTTAGTGCCTTGATTTGAGATAATTGTATTATTGCCATGTCAATAAATGTAGAAACCTAAAACTAAAGAAACCTCTAAAAAACTGTTGCATATCAGTAGTTTTTACTGAATTTTAATTGGTTGAAGTATTTGTAGATGCTAGATGCATTTTCTAAATTAAGTACAATCTTTGAATGAGAATTCCTCTTACAAAGAAAGACTGATTCTGGTTCATAAGCCAAGAGATGTGTAGGCAATGCAAAAAAAAAAAGCATATGACGCAAAACTCTGGATAATTCAGGAATTTCAGTAAATGCTGTCAGACTCTTGCTTTGTAGCAGGAATACATTCATGGTATGGGCAGTATGGTTTTATTTTATTTTATTTCTTAACCAAATACCTCCTCAGTAATTTATAATGGCTTTGCAGTTATGTATTAAATAAGAAGCACTGGAAAACTGATTCGTCCTTGGGACGATTTGCATGTTTCAAGTGGTATTGAAAGCCGCACTGATGGATATGTAATAATAAACATATCTGTTATTAATATGGTAATGACTCTGTGCTCATTTAATGAGAAATAAAGTAATTTATGGAAAGACCCTTTTGAAAACGACTGGCATGGTGTTTTCTCCTGACTGCAGCTTAAACATCTTTTTCTAAGCATTCAGACATTGCAGCAGCTTCCTGGTACAAGGTGCATTTACACTGTAACACCTAGGAGACTCTGAAATGTTTTGGGGGTTTTTTTAGTATTCTACATCAATAAGTAAATACCACATTACATTTAATTATTTCATTCCCTTATTCTCCTGGCCTGCCTAATTTTAAAATTAGTAACCTAATTTATATTTATTATTCAACCACCACCCTAAGATGGCCTTGTCATTGCTTCATCCTTCATGATGCCAGTTTGAAGCTTCAGAAATCCCACTTATTTGGGGGAGGGAACATTGTTCAAAAGACAAGGTGGTTTTTGTTGGTGGGGGTTTTTGGGGTTAGGTTTGTTTGGGTTTTTTTAGAACAGCCTGTTCATCCCATGAAGCTACTGTCCCTAAATCTCCCTGGGTAATCTGCCAAGACCTGCAGAACAATAGAGCAGTAAGGACATGAATGATTGTATGTCCTTTGAAGGTCACAGGGCCGGGAAGTATAGATAAATAGAAGCAGTTGATGTGGTAATTTCAGGAAGTTCCTCTATGTTGAGATTGCTGTATCAGAAGCGTCAGCAATTTCAAAGCTGTGGCTGGAGCACACTAAAGACAACCTTCCATAATATAACCAGTCACGTCGTGAGCTTGTCAAGCAATACAAGGAATAATTATGACCTGCTTTAATCTACTGTCACATACTGAGAAGGGAAATAATAAAGTATAATGATTAAACATATCTTACTTAAATACATACATTACAATAGGAAATTTGGAGCAGGAGGGAAGGCCTATGGTATCTCCAGACCCAGATTAGATTGTGGATTGCTTTTCTGCTTTCCTTTAGGTGTAACTGGCTACCTCTACAGGGTCAACAACCCTTGCTTGAGTAATTTTATTAATAAAAAAAAGCAATGTCTTGTAATTTCATATTTCATTAATCTGAAAAATAGCATAAACTTCATTATGAATAGATAATGACTAGTGGGAAGAAGGTAGGATTGTGGAAAAATTATTTTGCTCTACAGATTGGCACCTACTGTCACTTTCATAGTTTTTTAGCAATGCTGAAGTTCTGCAGTTCTTTTTAAATGCTGATTTTGCTTGGGAAAGCAACAGCAGACATAATGAAGTGTAAAATTACATTGAGTAGTGTGTCTGGGATAAATTGCAGCTAAAATGCTTTAATAATAAAGTCTAGACGTGCAAATTACAGTTTGTGTGTTCGGGTACACTGATGTTGGCAATTGTTTACTGTAAGCAAGGTGCCTGTCTACAGCAATAGCTATACTTTGAATAAGAAATTCAGCCAAAGGTTTCTACTGCTAGGAAAAGTAATGCTTACAATCTCAACTGTGCAAATAGATATTTCAGGCAAAAAATATCTGTTACAAAACTTTCAAGAAGCATCAGCTTTACCATCCAGAAAAAAGCAATCTGTGCTGCCATGTTCACTACAGCTCCACTTAATCTGACTCTTGCCACATTATTTTGCTTTTACTCTTGTCACTAATGATTCCTCTTACAGCAGGGGGACATTTTGCTTATACTCATCTAATACAGCACCAGAAAGTCATCAAGACACGTGACCATGTAAGCTGTGAGGAGCTGGCATAAATCAGCCTGGCTTCCTTCATACCGGTGACGCTACAGTTTTACATGCTCCTTGACAAATCAAGAAGTCTAGATTCCTATATGATTGGTTTTTTGTTGATTTGCCTCTACCTTTTTTTCATACTTTTTTTACAACAAGTTCATTAACATCGGTAAAATGCCCAAATCTGCTTTTTCATTCCCTCTTCAAGCCGCCATATTTCTCCTAGGCAATAAGAAATGGTAAGAGTAACTAACTAGCAAAACAGCATGGTAATAAAAGGATAGGGCCTCTCCCGTAGGTGCGATTTAGCTACAGTAGTCACTGAGGCTGTAGCCAGAAGCAATTTGGGAATTGGTAAGCGAGAGGTGGGGCAGCAGGTACTGAGCTTTCCTCTGAGCTGGTGAACACTACTGGGATTTTTTTTTTTTAATGTATTAGTTACAAACATAAAAAATGAAAATAGTTTTGTTCTTGTTTCTTCCCCCACATGTGCCCCCAAAATGCAAAAAGTTTGAAAACCACTGAAATGGAAGAGGTAACACGGAAATGGGGGATACTGTGTATGTTACTTTAAACACCTCCTGGGTTGCTATGCATTCTTTACCCTGCCATTTTCTATATCATCTGTTATTAGCAGTCTCACCTTATTGATGCTGTGTTTTAGTTTGTAGCAGCTGTGAGATAGGGATCAAGTGTAGCAGTGGCTTTCAGGTTGGGTGTGCCAGGGCTGTGCCATACCCTGGATCCCTCCTGCATGGGCAGCCACGGTAGTCTCTGTTCGGGCCCCGCCCAGCCCTGCATGGTGCTGGGAAGACCGTGTGCACCCGACTTGTGTTCAAGCATCTGGTTTCTGTTCCTCTTTTTCTGGGCACTCATTTGGAGACAGTCAAGGTTTGCAGTGCAGGGAATTGAAATGCTTACATTTATCATGGAAAAGAACTTTTAAACATGTAAAGCACTGTAGTATACCAGGACACTGGAATACTAGACCTAAACCACTTACAACTACTATTTTTTTGAGTTTAATTTACATGGAAATTATCTGGAAGACAGCAGTTAATAATGTGATTGGATCCTACCTGTGCTGTGAATACAGTCATTAAAACGTTTCAAGCCTGAAGATACATAGAAGATACACTGAAGCTGTGGAAGCCTCATCCCTGTAAGTGTTGGAGGCCAGGTTGGATGGGGCCCTGGGCAATCTGATCTAGTGGATGACATCCCTGCACACGGTCCCTTCCAGCACAAACCATTCTATGAATATACACAGACAGGTTCCCATGAACATTATGTCCCCCACAGAAAACAAAATGTACATTAATAAATGCACCTGCCAACATATCTGATAATACATCTCGCCCTTTAAGGAAACAAAAAATGTAAATGCAGTATTTTAACTCCCCAGTCTCTGATTATTTAAAATGAATCTTTGTTCTGTTACAGGCATTACAAAGGTGCCTAAAGCATGCCTTGGAAAGGGGTTTGCTTCCTCACACCTTTCACTGTATCACAGCACCTGCTTGTACTGTTTGAGAATACACCTACCACTTGTGCTCGTCAGAACTGGCCCAAGGGAGATTTCACAGTGTAAAAGCCTTTCCTAAACAGATCTGGACTTGCTCTGACCCATCTTCTAGCATTATAAATCCTGCCAGGCCTGTTGGCCTGCAGCACAGTATTTTGCTATCGACACAGCCCCAACTTTTGGATCCAAGCTGGTTTGCATCCATCCAGCTCAAGATGGGAAGGAGCCATGCTCGGATGGGCCTGCAACTGGCCAGAGAGAAACAGCCAGGGCAGGCAGTTGCTGATGACCAAGGTTCCCTCAGGGCCTGTCTTCACTAAAAAAAAACAAAAACGCATTTAATAATATTCAGTCAATCTTTTCCATTTCGATGTCATCAAGGTAATCTGTATTTCGTATGTATAGATCAGGTTGCACTCTTTTTCTCTACACTCCTTATGACAGTTTGTGTAAGATTCAGGGAAACCAGCATCTCTTGATTCCCTCCTTAAGGAAAAAGGCACGCAGGAAGAGGTGTTACTTCCTGTTACTGCAGGAAGGGGCCTACACGGTCTGGGAGGAAAGAAGAGGGAGGTAGTGGGTTTTCACCTTGCAGAGGTTGGGATGATTTTTCCTGTAGATACAACCCCCGATGCTTCTCTTTCAGCACAGCACCATCTAGTGCCTGTCTCAAATCCTGGAAATGCATTGTCTGTGACTGCCTGGGCCTTGATCCACTAAGGGTTGGTTACTCTAAAGGGGAGAATGTGTTCAGTGCCGCTTCAGACAATAGAGCATTCCACTTCCATTCAGCAGTCCCAAATAAACGGCCTCTATGTAGGTCACTGTTGGTGTTAAGAGGCTAGACTGGAGACATCCCAGACTCTCAGGCAGGCAGCTGGGGTCTGCTCTCACTTGAATAGATGATCTGCAGGATCTCACCCTAGAATGGGATTAAAGCTTTTCTAGAAAGCTCCTTTCAGCAAGTCTAAGTAACAGAAGATTCATCACTCTTGCTGGTCAATTTTAACAATGTTTAAATTGCCTCAGTAATTGGAAACTCCACCTTAATTCAAGATCCAGATTAATTTCAGCATAACACCAATTGAAGCTTCTCTGTGAAATGTAATCCTTGGTCCTCCCACACCTCCTTTTCACATCTAGGAGCCTACACTGAATAAAATCAACTTTCACTCTTCTCCATGACAGTCAGAAAAGACTGAAATTTTAAGCCAAGACTGAAATTTCTACGCCTTCCATTTTAAGGCTTACTTTCAAACTTTGGATTGTCTTTATGGTCATTTTGTATATCATTCTTCTACTGTTTGGAATTGAAAATCACATTTGATGAACAGCACATTTATCAAGGAAAGATCCTTCTTTTTTTGGATATCACTTCTGTGGCAAAAGCAGGACCAGAAGTGCACATGCAGACAACCAGATGGTGATATAAGCTGTGTCAGAAGCTCTTAAGAGCTGCAGATGTAAGCAGCAGATGACTGCCAGTTTCCAAGAGGTGGTATCTAGGAGGGGTCCAAGGAAGAGATGTTTCTTTCTGGCATGGTCTCCCTTTTTGTATGTTTAAGCACTGCTTTGGGTTCTTTAACCACAGCCTAATACTGAGAGCTTTTGTAGCAGTTGAGACTCGTGTGTCTCCATATCTACTGGTTTCAGTATCTTTAAAACTTGAAGGATTTTGTCCTGAAGGCTCCTGGCCATTGCCATCACACTCATGTTTCAATACTCCTTATCTATCACAGAGTCTCAAAATCATTGCTGGTAGATTAGTCATCCCCTCTCCCCTCAGTAAAGTTCTTCTGTTTACAGTTTTATCTCTTGCTCCATCTTCTCTTATAAACCAA